AGTACAGCAACCGCTACAAGCAGAAGGTGTCGCCCTCGAAGTGGTGCGCGAAGATGCCCGACGAGGAGCTCCGGACCCTCGACGCGAAGCGGACCATCGCCTGGACCCAGGACGCGACCCTGGAGGCCTGGCTCGAGGCCAAGTGGGCGCACCAGGAGCAGTGGCACTACATCGTCTTCGGCGCGCCCGACGGCGTCATCCGCCAGTTCCCGGGCTCCGCGCGCCCGACGAACGCCGCGGGCATGCCCATGGACTACGACCCGCGGCTCCGGCCCTGGTACCTCGCGCCCACGGGCGGGCCCAAGGACGTGGTCATCGTCATCGACGCGTCCTACTCCATGGACGAGGGGCGGCGGCTGGACCGCGCGAAGCGCATCGCGAAGTCGCTCCTGCTCACGCTCACGGTCGAGGACTACGTCGGCGTCGTCGAGGCCAAGCAGGGCTACTGGGGCTACTGGAACCAGTGGGAGTGGCGCCAGCCGACGGAGCTCGGCTGCGTCGACGACGCCATGTTCCCCGCGACGACGTCGGTCCGCGTGGACCTCGGCGGGAAGATCGACGGCATCAAGACCGACGGCGGCACGTGCGTCGAGGACGCCATGGCCCTCGCTAGGAGCCTGCTGGACAAGTACCGATCCTTCCGGGGCGGCTGCCAGGAGTACATCATCTACATCGGCGACGGCGACGACTACGACGCCATGGGATCGACGTCGGGCACCGCGCGCAAGGCTGCCTGCGGCTACTGGGACTGCTGCCCGTGCGGCGACAACTGCTGCTACACCTGCTGGATCCCCTGCGACAAGCAGGACTACGAGTACGAGTACAGCCACGCGGCGACCTACGCCGCGGAGCTCCTCGACGACGAGGGCATCAACACGATCACCTACAGCGTCAAGGACGACGAGAAGCGGAACCCGCTCTCGTGCGTCGCCATGGCCGGCGGCGGCTTCCACCAGAGCTACGACGACGCGGCGCACGACGTCAACACCTTCGCGCTCCTCGCCGAGTGGCTCGACTACCTGCGGCAAAAGTCCGAGGACGAGGGCCAGGAGTGGACGTCGTCCTACATCGACCTCACGGGCAGCGGCCTCATCGCGAGCCTCTGCGAGAGCGTCTACCTCGACGACGGCTCCTTCCTGGGCGTCGCCATGAGCTCGCTGAGCCTCGAGCAGACGGAGAAGCTGCTCCTGAACGACATCTGGGGCACGGCCTACGCGTTCATGGTCGACGTCGAGGGCGAGGCCATGATCCACCCGCGGCTCACGCCGCCGTCGCACCTCGCCGCGTCGCCCCTCTTCCCGGACATCGAGTCGCTCGAGACCTACAACGGCTTCCCGGCCGAGTTCCTCCAGGCGCGCGACGACATGGTCCACTCGCGGGCCGGCGCGGCGAAGATGACGACGCGCCAGCTCCGGCCGCGCGGCGGCGTGCTCGACGGCGTCATGGTCGTCGAGGACGAGGTCGAGTACTTCTGGGCGCCCGTGCCGGACAGCGAGTACGTCGTCGGCTACGTGCTCGCGACGCCCGACGACGTCCACTACCGCGTGCCCGTGGAGCCGCCGGCGCACTGGGGCGTGACGAACCACATGACGAACTACCTCCACAAGTTGCTGGACTACGAGACGCTCGGCGCGCTCGGCGACGCGACGCTCGCCCAGGCCTTTCTCGATCTGGACGTCCAGAAGGACGGCGTCTTCGGGGGCATCTCCTACAACGGCATCTGGGTCACGGGCGCGCACTCCGTCGTGACGCTCGCGGAGCGGTCGCTCTGCGCGCCGGACGAGTTCACGCAGCTCGATTTAGACGACCTGCTCCTACCGACGGCGCACGGCGACCTCAACGAGGACCGCGACGCGACCGTGGGCTGGCGCGACTGCGACTCGGGGTCGTTCATGCACGAGCGGGCCTTCGCGGACGTCGAATTGACCTTGGCCATCGAGGAGCCGTGGCTCGCGCGCGACATGTCCGGCGACTACGGCTCCTTCGCCATCACGGGCATCGGCACGGCGAGCGGCAGCTTCCGCTTCTACCCGGGCTACCAGCTCTACCGCGGCTTCGACCCGACGGTGCGGCCCTGGTACTACGCGGCGGTGGCGAACAAGGACGCGCTCGCGATCTCGACGCCCTACACGGCGGCCGCGGGCGAGGGCATCTACGTGACCATCTCCGCGACGATCTTCGAGGGCGCGCCGGACTGCGCCGAGTCCGCGACCATGGGCCACGACGGCGGCTGCGCGTGCGCCGACGGCTCCGACTGCGAGAGCGGCGTCTGCGCGGCGACGGGCACGTGCACGTCCGTGTGGAAATCAAATCTTCAACCCGACTTCAATGTGCGCATATGCGACCGTTTCGACGCGAGGCTTTCTGTTGTGCCTCGAGAACTCGATGAGAGCAATCGATTCGTCCAAAAATCAGCCGAATCGACGTCGATTTGACCGAGATAGAGTTCTGAAGTTTGGTGGGGACCCCCCAAACCAGTGGTTGGAATCCACACAGGTGCACGTCCGTGCGCGTCGAGGCCGTCGCCATGGGCGCGCGCTTCTACGACGCCTTCCACGACCGCATGCACGAGCTCACGGAGGGCGCGTGCTCCGATGCCGTCGCGACGGATTCCAGCTCGACGGCGCGGCGCTGCTACCTCGTCGACACGGCGGGCTACGCGATCTGGAGCCCCCACTTCGCCGCGCTGGACATCTACGACACGCGGTCCTTCCAGTCCGTGCCCCTGGCCCGCACGGAGGGCAAGGTCTTCTCCGCGCTCGAGGCGCTCGGCGTCTTCGTGCGCCACAGCGAGATCCTGTACCAGGGCACGTGCACGAAGACGCCGTCGTACCTCATGGACAGCGTCACGACCAGTGTCGGCGCAGGGGTCCCTACGTACGCGCCTCTCCGTAGCCCCTTCCTGATCCTATGGACCCATGACGTATTCGCCTGCGCAGGTCACCGCCGACGGCGCGTTCCCGCCGGCCGAGGAGGTCGACGCGCACTACCCGGGCTCGCCGAGCTTGGGCTACTTCCCGCCCTGGGCGAACACGCACGGCTGCGTCCAGGACGTCGTCTACTACGACCTCGACGAGGACGCGCTCGCGGCGCAGGCCGACGGCGTCGCGTCGGGCTACATCTCCGGCGCGGGCTGCTACGAGGCCGCGTCCTGGCACTTTGCGCGCGCGCCGGGCACGAACGCCTACCTCCTCGTCATCGACGACATCGAGGTCGCGACGACGCCCGAGAGCGCGACGTCCTTCGAGTTCGCGTGCTCCGTCGAAAACGGCCTCTACACGCCGGGCGCCTACCTCCTCGTCAACGGCTCCTGCGGCATTCTCCACGAGGTGCCCGAGCACCCCATCACTTGCCCGGCGAAGACGGACTACCGACCGACCGTGCCCGAGTGCGAGGACGACGGCGCCGCGCGCGCCGCGGCCTCGACGGCCGCGGCGCTGCTCGCGCTGCTGCTGGTGATGGCGCGCGGCTAGGCGGGCTACAACTGTGCTGTCGGTAAGGGAGTCCCCGGCACACTGCTCCCGGACGACCGAGGGAGCTCGGCACACGGCGACTTGTTCGCCGGCGCTCGCCCCGTCCGGGGACTCCCAGAGGGCGGTCGCGCGCGGCTAGACGGCGCGCGGACTACCGCGGTCAGTGAGGGAAGCGCCCGGCACACTGCTCCCGGACGACAGAGAGGACTCCCAGGAGGATATCTAGCGCGCTCCGCGGGACGACGGAGGGGGGTCGCGCGCGCGGGCCCGCGGGGCCGCCTACTTGCGGCGCTCGTCGTACTCGGCGAAGAAGTCCGAGTCGGAGTCGGGCTGGTCCTTGGCCCAGTTGTAGTAGAGCCAGAAGAACGAGCCGAAGACGAGCGTCAGCACCGTCGTCTCGCGGCCGTCGTCGATGCCGAGCACGAGGCCCGTGCCCTCGGACTGGCCGCCGGCGAGCGCGGCGAAGGGCGTGAAGGCCGCGGCGGCGGCGGCGAAGGAGACGGGCTTGGGCGCCGAGATCTTGGGCGCGGACACGGTCCGCTTCGCCTGCGTCGGCGCGAGCGCCGACGAGCACGCGAGCAGGGTGGCGACGAGGACGGACTTGAACATGGTGCGAGGCGGGGCCTGCGGGCGGGGCGGCGCCGTGAGCCGCGTGCGGGGCGCCCCGGGGGGCGGCGAGCCGCCGGCGCGCGGCGGCGAGCGCTTGGGATTGGATTTCGCGCGGAGAGCGCTGCGGCTCGGCCCCCGGCTCGTTTTTCGGTGCGAAATCGGTGCGCGCACGCGTGGACCGTTGCGACAAAGCTCTCACGGCGTCCTCTATCTCACGGCGACTACGTCGCGTAGCTTTCCACGCTGATGTACATACGCTTGCACTGAGTGGAAGGGCAGCGGATCGCGATCGAGGCGCGGGCGAGCCGCGCGCCGCTCCGCCACAGCCGGGGCTCGGCCGTCCACAACTCGGGAGCGCCTCGCGCCTTGTCCCGAAGACGCCCAATCCTCCCGCGCGCCTCGGCCGCCAGACCGGGCACGTCGGTTCTCGCGTCACACCATTTGCGCGAGGTTCCTGCTGGGCGTGCGGCCTGCGGCGGTCTTGCTCGGCGGCGCGTTCGCGGCGAGGGACGAGTCCCGGGCCCACTTCGTCGGCGGTCCGCGCCGGCGTCCTTGGGAACCGACGGGAAGAGAAGAACGCCCGCGCGCGCACATCCCAAAACCACCCCCTCCCGCGCAGGCGCGCCGCTCGTCCTCATGGCGGCGAACAACGACGCGGCGGCGCTGTCGAAGCAGCGGCGGCGGCTGAGCGTGCAGAGCGACAGCAAGTTCATCGAGGGCGTGGAGAACATGGACATCTCCGGCGGCGGCAAGGCGCGGCGGCAGAGCATCCAGATCCGCGAGGGCGAGGCGGGGAGCCACATCAGCCGGCTCTTCGGGCTGAGCAAGAAGGGCTACGCGCCGTACAACCCGCGGAAGAAGAACCAGGACGCGCTGGCCATGGCCGAGGACCCGGCGACGGCGACGCAGGCGATCCTCGTTTTGGACGGCCACGGCGAGGCCGGCGACCTCGTGAGTGGCTACTACAAGGAGAAGTACCTCGACGAGGTCTTCGCGCACGCGGCGTGGCCCGGCGACGTCGAGGGCATGAAGCGCGCGTCGCGCGACGTGCTGCTCAAGCTCGAGCGCGAGCTCATCGGGAACAAGGCCGTGGACACGGAGTTCTCCGGGTCGACCTACGTCTTCGCGGCGTTGCGCGGCGGCGCGCTGCTCGTGTCGAACGTCGGCGACTCGCGCGTGACGCTCGGCGTCGAGGTCGACGGCGCCATCGTCGCGCGGCCCGTGTCCATAGACCACAAGCCCGACGCGCCGGCCGAGAAGGCGCGCATCCTCGGCGCGGGCGGCCGCGTCTTCGCCGTCGAGTACGACGACGGCGTCGACGGCCCGCCGCGCGTCTGGCTGGGGCACATGGACGTGCCGGGGCTCGCCATGAGCCGCTCGGTGGGCGACGTCGTCGCCCACGCCGCGGGCGTGTCCACGGAGCCCGAGTTCTTCGTCCACCCCGTCTCCCACGAGGACCGCTTCCTCGTCTCCGCCACGGACGGGCTCTGGGAGTTCCTCACGGACGACGAGGTCGTCGCCATGGTCGCCAAGGTCGCCATGGAGACGGGCAGCCCCAAGGCCTGCGTCGAGGCGCTCGTCGAGGAGTCGAACGCGCGGTGGATGAAGAACGAGCAGGTCATCGACGACACGACCATCGCCGTCGCCTTCCTCTCCGCGGACCTCGTCGCCGCGGCCACGAACGCCAAGTAGGCGTCCCTCCCCTTTTGCCCGCGGAGCCGCGCATATCCCCGCTCCCCCCGAGATTCGTTCGCCCCCTTATAGTTACGTCGGGGGAAACACGGGCGCCCAGAACTGGCCGGGCTGCGCGGCCCGGAGCTCCGCGAGCGCGGCGCGCCAGCACGACGTCCCCGACGCGCGGACGACGCCCCGCGCGACGAGGTCGCCGTCGCCGGCGTAGCGCGCGTAGTCCGCCGCGATCTTCTTCGCGAGCGCGGACTTGGCCTCGGGGTCGTTGCACGCGTGCGGGTCGTTCCGGTTGTGGATCGCGCCGTCGGAGAGCGCGGTGAAGTTCACGAGGATCAGCGGCCGGTCGTCCGCCGGCGGCTTCTTCGGCGCGGGCGCGGGCGCGGGCGCGGGAGCCTTCGCCTTCGTCAGCCACTCGTCGTCGCCGCCGTCGGCGACGGGCGCCGCGGGGGGAGCCGGCGCGCCGTGGTCCGCCGGCAGCGCCGTCACCGCCCAGTCGTCCTCGTCGTCCGCATCCTCCCAGCTTTCGAGCTCGGCCATCTGTGTCGCAGCGGTTGTGCTAGCAGCGGCGTGAGAATCCGAGCTGCGCTACTGCCTTGACGGCGCGAGCTTGCAAAGCTGGGAGGACGCGATGCTTGTCCTTGCGCCTCATGCGATGCTGTGGCAAAAAAATGTTTAGCATTGCACTTGGTATCACTTCTTCAACCAAGGAGTTTCACAAAAAACGAGGCAAGGCGCTGGCCCTCCGCTGCGTGCTCTCTCCGCAGCGGCGATGTGCGCGCTGTTCCAGGGCTTGCAGGAGCCGGTCGTGCCGGCGGCGGACGAGCCGAAGATCAAGGAGGTGCGCGCCTTCGTACTGCGGCCCAAGCCGCCACCCGAGGGCGGCGCCAACCCCTGGCACGCCGGCCCGCCGACGGCGGCGCCCCGCTGCCCCGCCGGCGCCGTCGTCGTCGAGGTCGAGCAGGACGACGGCCTCGTGGGCGTGGGCTGCACCGTCGGCGGCGAGGCGGTCTGCGTCGTCGTCGAGGAGCACCTCGCCAAATTCGTCGAGGGCCAGTCCGCGAGGAACATCGCGCACGTCTGGGACCGGTGCTGGCGCGGCCAGACGGCGCAGGGCCGCCGGGGCCTGGGGCTCCACGCCCTCTCCGCCGTCGACCTCGCGCTCTGGGACCTGCTGGGCAAGATCACGGGCGAGCCCTGCCACGTGCTGTTAGGCGGCATGACGACGGCGCGCGTGCCGCTCATCGCGGCGACGGCGCGGCCGGAGCTCGCGCGGCGCCTCGGCTTCAAGGGCGCCAAGGTCGCGTTGCCCCGGGGCCCGGAGGCCGGCGACGCGGGCCTGCGGGAGAACGCGGAGGCCGTCCACGCGTGGCGCCGCTCCGTGGGCCCCGACTTCCCGCTCGTCGTCGCCGGCGGCGGCCGCTTCGACGCGGCCTACGCGGCCGCGCTCGCGAAGCGCTGCGAGGCCGACGGCGTCGCCTGGTTCGAGGACTGCGTCCCGCCCGACGAGCCCGCGGCGCGGCGCGCGCTGAGCCGCAAGCTCGAGCGCCTCGGCGCGGTCCACGGCGCGGGAAGCCGCGAGGCGACGCGCTGGGGCTTCGACGCGCTCGCGGACCAGGGCGTCGGCGTGCTCGCGCCCGACGTCTGCCGCTGCGGCGGGGCCTCGGAGTTCCTCAAGATCGCCGCGCTCGCGCGCGCGCGCGGCGTCGCCGTCGCGCCGTCCGGCGGCGGCGTCTACGCCTACGGCCTCGCCATGGCGCTGCCCGACGTCCACGTCGCCGAGTGCGCCCTCGGCGAGTCCGGGGCACCCGCGCCCTTCTGGGGCGACCTCCTCGCGGGCGAGCCGCCGCCCGCGGACGGCTACGTCGCGCTCCCGCGCGCGCCGGGCTGGGGCGTGGCGCTCAACCGGGACCGCGTCGACCTCGTCCGCCCCCACGACCGCGACACGAAGCGCGCGCTCCTCTCGGCCTTCAAGAAGGTCACCGACGAGTGCAAGAACGCGCCGGAGCCCGCCACCAAGGGCCGCCGCTCCGAGTCCGCGCCCACGATCCGCGACGAGAGCGTCATGGCCGCGGACCGCGCCCTCGCCGCGAGCCTCCTCGGGTAAAAAAGCCTAGCCGCGGTCGGCGCGAGCACCGGTCGACGCCTCCCTTTTTTGGGAGAGCTTCAACAACCGCTATTAATCGTGAGTCCAGAAGAATGGGCGCCGAGTTTGCGGACAACGACAAGGAGGCGGCCGCCGCGCCGGCGGCGGACGCAGCGCCCGGGAACGACGAGAACGTCGCGCCCGCGGCCGCGGCGCCGGCCAAGGCGCCGGCGGGCGAGGACGCGCCGGCGCCGGGGCTGCCCGAGGACGTCGTCACGGCCGTGCGCGCCGGCGACGTCGCGACGCTCGAGGACTACCTCGCCGGCGGCGCCGACGCCGACGCGCGGCAGACGACGCCCGCGGGGCGGGGCCTGCTCTGCTGGGCCGCGCTGACGCGCCAGGCCGCGTGCCTCGCGGCGCTCCTCGAGAACGGCGCGAGCGTCGACGTCCCGGACAACTCGGGCTTCACGGCCCTCAACTACGTCGTCACCTACGGCGACGACGCCAACCGCCTCGCCGAACTCCGGCTCCTCCTCGACGCCGGCGCCGACGTCGACAAGTGCGACAACCGCGGCTTCACGCCGCTCATCCACGGCTGCGTCCGCGGCCGCGGCGACGCCGTCCGCGCGCTCCTCGCCGCCGGCGCGAACTACGACCTGCGCAACGAGATGGGCCACGACGCCGAGGCCCACGCGCGCGCCGCGGGCCACGAGGACCTCGCCGGCCTCCTCGCGGACGTCCGCGCCGCGGGCTCCTGGGCCGCGTACGAGGCGGCGCCGCCGCTGGCGGAGTAGGCGCGCCGCGGCGCCACGCGTATTGTAGAGGCACTCGTCTGACTGGAACGACGGAACGCGTTCAGACAGAAAGGCGCTCCATGTTGACGACAAGGTGCATCGCATGCGAGCTCTGCGTGCGCAATGCCACCCCCGATGCCGCAGCAGCAGCATATGTAGCACGTAGTAGAAGCATCGCAAGCCGGTAGCAGAAGCGATGCTGCGGCCGGCGCAGGTGAAACACACCATGGCGGTCCTCAGGCCCGAGTGGTACCACCTCTCCCCGGCGGTCGGCTGCGCGGCGACCGCCGGCGACGCCGTGCTCTCGAACATGTACCGGACCGTGAGTACGACGAGAGAGTCGCCGTTCCTCGCGGCCTGCGACGTCGCGCGCGAGCTCTTCCACTCCGCCGGCGGCGGCGCGCCGCGGCCCGCGCGGACGCGGTCGCGCGCGGCGGGCCACCTCGACGCCGGCGACCTCGGCGCGCTCTGCGCCCAGGCGCTGGCGGGCGCGCCCGAGGACGACGCGAAGGCGCTGCGGTCCCGCGGCGTCGAGTCGAACCGCAAGCACGGCGACTGGACGGGCGTCTCCCTCGCGCGCTACCTGCGGCTCGTCGACCGGCTCCGCGCGGCCAGGGGCTTCGGCTGCGCCGTCGTGGCCCGGCGCGTCTGGGCGAGCGCGCGCGACCGCGGCGATCTGCTGGATTTCCTCGCGGGCGTCGACGGCGCCGTGTCCGTGTTCGCGCGCGGCGCGCCGGACCCCCTTTCGTGGGCGGATGACGCCTTTCCGGACGAGCCCGACGCGGCGGCCGTCGCCGCGGCGACGGCCGCGGTGCTCGCGAGCGATGCAGGCCGTACCTCCACCTTCGCGGCGAACTACGAGGTGCTGGCCTGCTCGCTCGCGTCCGCCGGGTGCCTGCGGCGGCCGCGGCGCGCGGCGACGCGGGTCTTCGGGAACGCGGAAAAGATGGACTGCGTCGAGGCGTGCGTCCGCGAGATCTGCGACCTGGTGCTCTACGACGGCGCGGCCTTCGACGCGTCGCGGCTCCCCGCGGCCGCGCCCGCGCGGCGCTTCTACGACGCCGGCGGCGACGGCGACGCGTGGTTCGCGCTCTGCCAGGGGCTTCCCGGGTGCGCGTACCTCGCCGAGACGGCCGCCGGCGACGCCTTCGAGCTCGCGCCGCGCATGGACACCGTCGCGCTCGCGGCGAGCACCCTGCTCGGCGTCGAAAAGGCGACGACGCTCGAGGCGCTCGCGGACAACTGGAACGCGCGGAACGGGTGCGCGCGGTCGCCCTCGCTCGTCGCGGACGCGAGCCGCTCGGGGTCGTACACGCCGCCGCTCGGCGAGGGCAAGCGCGTGCGCGCCGTGGGGGACCTGTGGCTCGAGTCGGGCGCGACGGAGTTGGAAATCGTCCTGGAGGAGCACCCGCCGGTGGCGCTCTCGGCGGTCCGGCGGGTGGCGGACGCCTGGACCGACGACGCTCGAAGACGGCACCTCGACGCGTTCCTCGGCCGGGGCGAGTCGGTCCTCGACGCGCTCGTCGCGCCGCTCCTCGGCGACGCGCTCATCGCGGAACTCCCCGCCGACGCCTCCGCGGAGAAGAAGCGCCTCGCGATCCTCGCCGCGCGGCTCGCGGCCTCGGACGCCCGGGCCTGGGCGCCGGCGTCCGAGGCCGCGGACCGCGGGAGCCGCGACGACGTCGCCCGGGCCGCGGACCGCGCGCGCGAGGCCCGGGTCGCGGCCGCGCTGCGCGTCGCCGCCTCGGACGCCGCGCTCGCCGGCGAGCTCCTGCCGACGCTGCTCGCCCACGCGGACCACCTCGACGCGCGCGGCGTCGCCAAGGCGCTCCGCGGCCGCGCCGGCACCTACGCCGGCGACGCCGAGCTCCTGGCGTCGCGGCCCGACGTCGCCCGCTACCTCGCGGAGCCGCCGCCGCTCGAGCGGGTCCGCCGGTTCTTCGAGTTTCCCGGCTAAGGATCTCCGCGCTAGACGGCTTACTTGTCGAGCGCGACCTTGAGGCTCGCGGCGTCCGTGGGCTTGAGGAGCACGCCGCTCTGCTCGCGCGTCCACACGCGGCCGTCGGGGTCGTCGAGGGGCGCGAACTTGTACGTGTACTGCGAGACGCGCACCTGGCTCGGCGGGTCGCCGGCGGCGAAGGGGTTCTCGTTGAGCAGCGAGCTCGTCGCCTCGTCGTTCGTCGCGAGCTTGTGGAGCAGGGTCAGGAACCAGCGCTCGGTCGTCGCGTCCCTGCCCCGGCACGCGGAGATCCAGAGCTGCCAGTCGAGGCGCCAGTGCCAGGGGCTCACCTGGCGCAGCTTCGCGGTCGGGTCCGCGGGTAAGGCCCGGAAGTCGTACTCGCGCCAGTCCTCGCCGTCGCGTTTGCCCTCGATGACCAGCGCGTTTTTCCGGTCGTTGACGGACCCGAAGGCGCCGAAGGCGTTGGCGAGGCGGAAGGCCCGCAGGTTCACGGGCCGCGGCGCGTCGTCGCTCAGGCCCAGCGCGCGGTACGCGGGCCGCACGTCGACGACGCGGTCGAAGGTCGAGTTCATCGCCTGGTGTGGCGGCCGCCGGCCGTCCAAATCGCCGCGGCGCGCCGGCGCGGCGAGGTTCTCGTAGGTCGGCCGGTTGAGCCAGAGGAGGAGGGCGCCGAGCGCGACCGCGAGCGGATTGTCGATCAGGGTCCGCTGGAGGAACGGCGCCGCGGCCGCCGGGCCCACGCTCCCGAGGAACGCGTCGTCGAAGCACATGAGCGCGGGGACCATGGTCAGGTAGTTGAGGAAGGACAGGTTGCCCGACGCGACGAGGCCCCCCTGGAAGAGGATGTGGACGAGGCCGTAGCCCGCCGTCGCCGCGCGGCCGAGGCCGCCCACGGCGCCGCCGACGCAGGAAAGCGCGAGCCCCAACGGCAACAACGCGGGCGCGAAGAGCTCGATGACGTGGTTCGACGCCGTCGCGAAGCGGTGCGCGGCCTTGGGCAGGAAGTGGAGCCGCCGGCTCAGGGGCCCCGGCAGGGGCTGCGTCTCGAAGAACGTGGACATGGCGCTCAGGTCGAACCAGCCGTCCGTCGCGCGCCCCCGCGCGCGGAGCTTGATCAGGCCCGCGCCGAGCATGATCTTGAAGCAGAGCCAGCGAAACGCGAGCACGCCGAGCCACTGCGGCGATTGCGGGAGCAGGCAGAGCGCCGTCGTCTCCAGGAGCTGCGAATCCCAGCCGTAGGAGTAGAACGGCGCGCCGACGGTCGCCAAACTGAGGTAGCACGCGTAGCAGCCCGCGAGCGCGAGCCAGCCCGGCCCGCCGCCGGCGCCGAAGAGGAAGAGCGGCGCCGCGCAGGCGAGGCCCGACGCCGCGACGACGTCCAGGCCCGCGTCGAGCGACACGCGCTTCTTCGGCGCGTCGAGCTCCTTGCCCTGGTAGCAGAACCAGAGCAGCGTCGGCGCGGCCTCGACGCGCCGCCGCCACGTGGACTGCCTCGTCGCGACGCGGTCGAGCGTCGCCGTCGCCGGCGACAGGCCCCGTGACCCGACGAGCGCGCGGTTCTGGCGCAGCGCCATGAGGAAGCCGACACCGTAGAGGCCCGCGATGGCGCGCGCCGCGAGCGCCCGCGCGGCGCCGAAGGATCCGACGCCCAGGGGCCGCGCGACGGCCGACGAGCTCGCGAGCGACGCTGCGACGACGAGGACCATCGCGAGGCACGTGCCGGCCTGGGCCCACGCCGCGACGTGCGCGCGCGACAGGTACGCCGACGCCGCGGCGTAGTCCGTGACCTCCGCCGCGACGTCCCTGCAGTCGCGCGCGACGCGGCGCGCGCGCGTCGTCACCTCGCCGCGGCGCGCCCAGGCGTAGTGCCACGTCGCATTGAGGAGCGTCCGCGCCTCCTTCGCGGCGGCCTTCGGGACGGGCTCGAGGTCGCCGCGCTCCGTCTCGCCCTCGAAGGCGCTCGAGTGGCGGCGCATGCGGTCGATGCGCGCACCGAGCGCGCTGCAGGGACCGGTGCCCGAGCTTGCAGGCGATTCGCGGCGCGTCGAGCGCGCACCGAGGCGCCTTTGCGGCACCACGAAGGCCGACGCGACGGCCAAGACCGGCAGCACGATGCGCATCGACCTGTGTCCACCACCGACGGCGGCAAGGGCGCGCGGCTCAGCCTTAGACTTCTTGGCTGCTTCAATTCTAGGAACTGTGGGCCACGATCAAGACGCCTATCAAGGGGACTTTAACCAACAAAAGCAGCCGGGCACGCACGCATAAAGCCCCCCCCGGTCGCGCCGCTCGCGGCGCGCGCGCTCACGCGCCCTCGGCCGGCGCGGCGGCGTCCGCCGCGCCCTCCTTGGGCGTGCCGTCGTGCGTCTCCTCGCCGGCCGCGACCTTGGTCGCCTTGTCGAGGTTCGCCGCGAAGTCCGTGTTGTTCGGCGCGAGCGAGAGCGCGTGGGCGAACTCGAGCTTGGCGGCCTCGTAGTCGAAGGTGTTGTAGTGCGCCGCGCCGAGCGAGTTCGCGATGGCCGGGTTCGCCTCGTTCGCCTCGCGGAGCCGCGTGAGGAGGGGCTTGGACTCGTCCCAGCGGCCGGCCTGGCTCAGGCGCTGGGCGTGGAGGAAGATGGTCTCGCCGTCGTTGGGGTTGAGCTGGGACAGGATCTGGCTGAACGCGGCCGCGCGGTTCGCCATCGACATCGCCGCGCTCAGGTCGCTGAGGAGCGACAAAGCCCCGAAGGTCGACTGCATGGCCTCGAGGAGGCAGACCTCGGCCTGGGGCAGGTTCCGCTGCATGATCAGCAGCTGCGCGACGGCGTAGCGGTCGTCGAAGCCGCCGCCCATCACGGGGCACTGGATGGGCTGCTCCGGCGCCGCCGCCGCCGCCGCCGGCTCCTCGGCGGCGGGCGCGGCGGCCTCCTGGGCGAGCGACGACGCGCACAGCGCGGCGGCGGCGACGAAGACGCGGGCGAGCATGGCTGCGGAAGGCGACGCGGTCCGGTGGCGGGGGCTGCCCTCGCGAGGAATTCAATCGCGCGCTGTGACGAGTTGCGGCCGACAGTGCTGTGAGAGAGCATGAGGGCTGCCCCCGGCAGCTCGTGCTCAGCCGCCGCGCGTCGACATCCCGCACGCTGACGCAGATCTTCGCCCATAAATGATGCGATGCTCTCCGCCGTCCTCGGCGTCACCAGCATCCTCTTCGTCGGCGACTCTCTCGTCGCCTCGCAATATTTCTGGCTGCGAGAGGCGCTCGTGGAGCAAGGCTATCGCTGCGCGGAGTCGGCAGCCCGGCACCACGCCGAGGGATCGGTGAAGCATAGCCTCTGCAGCGGCACAGAGCCGTCATCCATCGAGCTCGCGCTCCTCGCCAACATCCCCTCGATCCCCGGCCTGCGGCACAACCGCGACTCGCGGCCCTTCAAATGCGCGCGCTTCGCCGCGGAGTCCGAGCGCGCGCTCGGCAACGGCACGCGCCCGCGCGCCGTCGTCTTCAACGTCGGCGCCTGGTACGAATGGTGGCAGAACCACACGTCCGCCGAGGCGCTCGCGCGCTTCGAGGTCGACGTGCGGAAGCTCGGGACGTGCCTCGCGCGCCTCGCGCGGCCGGGCGACCGCGTGGTATGGCGGGAGGTCGCGCCGTCGCACTTCTCGTCGCCCGACGGCTCCTTCGGCGCGCTCCTCGCGGCGATCTTCGACGGGACGGCCGCGCGGGACGCGCCGTGCCGGCCCCTGGCGCCCGGCGTCGAGCCCTGGCAGGTCGCCTACAACCGCGCGGCGGACCTCGTCCTCCCGGCGCGCGTCGAGCGGCTCCGCGTCTACGATGCGACGGCGCCGCTCTGGGACGACCACAAGGCGACGACGGCGACGGCGTCGGGCATCCGCGACTGCACGCACTTCGCCGACGGCGGCGACGCGCGGGCCCTGTGGACGCGGCTGCTCCTCGCGCTCCTCGCGCGTGCGACGTAGGCGCCGCTCTCTCGGAGCCGTTAGTACACCGTCGGCGCCTCGGCGCCGCCCTCGTCGGTCTGCTCGCTCTCCATGCGCAGGGCGATGGCCTCGAAGCTGTCCTGGTTGTACTGGATGTCCTCGTTGCGGATGCGGAGCGCCGTGTCGGCGTTGGCGTCGCCCGTCGACGCGCGGCCCCGGCCCTTGGCGACGGCGGCCTCGCCCGCCCCCTCCTTGGCCGCGGCCTTGGGCTTCTTCTTCCGCTTGCCTGTCGGCGCGGACTGCGCCGAGCGCCAGAGCTCGGGCGGGATGGGGTTCTCGACGAGCCTCGCGCCCGGCGCGTTGAAGTTCGCCCAGCAGAGCGGGCTCGGCTTGTCCAGGGGCACGCAGAGGCCCCGCTCGAGGCGCGCCTTGATGGGCTGCACCGCGAAGACGTCGCGCGCGCGGCGCACGAGCTCGTAGAAGTGCTCGGCCCGGAGGGGCTGGCCCTTGCCCTGGGCCTTCTCGTGGTGCCGCGTCATGCGCTTCACGACGAGCTCCACGGTCTCGTCGTCGGCCTCGTCGGCCTCCTCCGCGTCGTCGCGCGCCGCGGCCGCGTCCGCGTCCTCGGGCGACGGCCGGGGCCCCGCGAACTGCGCGTAGTCGTCGGCGTCCGCCGCCTCGGCGCGCCGCGCCGCGGCCTTGGCCCGCAGCGCCGCGCGGAGCACGGGCGCGAGGGCCAGGCCCGTGAGCCGGCCGCGGTACTCGACGGGCAGGCCCGTCGCGCGGAGCGCGGCCTCGACGCCGACGTCCTCCTCGAAGGCGACGCACTTGCGCATGAGGCGCAGCTCGCGCGCGTTCATGCCCCGGAGGTCCGGCGCGTAGGTGCCCGCGAGGTGGTTCTCGACGGACCGCGGCGACACGCGCCGCGCGCCCGCCGCCGTCGTCGCGCGGCCCGGGCTCGCGAGCAGGCGCCGGAAGCAGTCCGTGACCTCGGCGGCCTGGAGCTCGCGGCGGGGCGACGACGCCGTCGTCGACGGGAAGCGCTCGCCGACGATGCCCGCGGCGGCCTGGAGCCGCGCGGCGTGCGATATCGTGTGGTGGCCGTGCGCGTTCTCGCCCGAGAGGCGCGCGTGGACGTTCTGGAGCGTGTGCATGCCCGCGAAGGGCGCCGCCCAGGGGCTCTCGTCCTTCCGCGGCCGCGCGGGCTGGGTGTAGCCGCTCATCGTCGTCGCGGGCCGCTCGTCCGGGTCGCGGCGCGGCTTCGACGCGCGGTCCCAGCCGCGCGGCGTCGCCGGCGCGAGGCGCGCGACGAGCTCGCGCTGGATGAGGAGCTGGTCCCTCTCGAGGTCCGCCTCGGCCCAGGTCTCGCTCGTCGTCGGGCACGCGGGGCTGCTCGAGTTGGGCCGGAGCACGCGGCGCAGCTTCTCGTAGTCGTACCACGGCGGCCGCCGCGGCTCGCGCTTCACGGGCTGGGGCGCGCCGGGGTACTGGGGCCGCGGCGCGGGCGCCGGCGCGCGCGCGCTCGGCAGCGCCGCCGCCGCGTCCGCGACGAGCCGCTGGGGCGCCGTCGCGCGCGACGGCGCGTCCGCGGCGGGCGGCGCGCGCCGCGCGTGCGCGGCGGACGCGGACCGCGCGAGCTCCGGGAGGTTCGTCGCCGCCGGCGCCGGCGCGAGGTGGGCCATGTCGCCCGGCGTTTCCTGCCGCTTCCGGCTCCGGAGGCGGCCCAGCAGGTCCGCCGCGCGCGCGGTCTCCGCGCGGAACGCGCGCGCCGCGTTCAGGCGGAAGGCGTCGACCTTGGCGTCGCGGTCCAGCACCTCCCGCAGGATGCCGCCGTCGTCCTCGGCCGGGGGCGGCGGCTCCGTGCCGTCGAGGCCCTTGCCCTGCGAGCCCGCGGACCCCCGCGACCGGTTGCTCCGCTTCGAGCCCGCGCTGTGGGGCCGGCTCCGCGACCGCTCCATGCGCTTCATCTCCATGAAGGGCGTGAGCACGCCGGCGACGACGTCCGTGAACTCCTCGACGTCGAGCGTGCCGCCCTCGTCCGTGTCGGCCGCCTGGAACATGTCGAGGCTCTCGGCCTCGGAGAGCACGAGGCCCAGGCCGATGAGGGCCATGCGGAACTCGGCGAGGCCGATCTCCTCGGCGTGGCCGCCCATCTCGTCGAAGAGGCCCGCGACGCGGGCCCGCATGCCGTCCGTGAGCACGAACTCGCCGTCCTCCGTCTCCTCCATGTGGTCCGCGATGTTCGCGACGCCGACCTTCTCCGCCAGCGTCGCCGCGGCCTTGCCCCAGGTCTTCTGCTTCTTCTGGCGGTCCTTCTTCCGCGACTTCTCGTGGGCCTTCTTCGCGTCGGCCTCGACGTCCGCGGCCGACGCCGACGGCCGCGCGGCGTCGGCCCCGCCGGGGTGCGCGCTCGGCCGCCGCGACCGGCGCGCCTTGGACCCGCGCAGCGTCGACTTCTTGCCGCCGGCCGGCCGGGCGCTGGACCGCGGGTCCTCGGCGACCTCCTCGAGCGAGCTCGACGACGCCGCGTCGCCCGCGTCGTCGTCCTCGACCTCGGGCACGCTCAGCGCCGCCTGCTGGAGCGCCGCGAGCTCCGCCCGCCGCCGCGCGCGCTCCAAGCGCCGGTCCTCGCTCTTCTGCAGCGCCCGGCCGCGGGCCTCGAAGAAGAGCGCCGCGAGGTCCGCGGCGGTACGAGCGGCGAGCCGCGGCGCGGGCCCGCCGCGGCGCCCGGGCAGGCGGTACTTGTCCATGAAGTCCACGGCGGGCTTCTCCGCGCTCCCGTGGCTGAGCAGGGACGTCGAGTCCAGCGACCCCGTCGACGCGAGCTCGACGACGTCCATCAAGTTGATGTTCATGAGGGACGTGCCGCCCTCCTTCTCCGCGAGCTTCTCGGCGTGCTGCGTCGGCGACGCGCGCGACCGCGACCCGCCGCCGCCGCGCGGCATCCCCTCCTTGGTTTTTGTGTGGCTCCTCTTTTAGAGCGTCGACCGCACTAGCGGGCTACCCATTGCTCTCCGGCGGCGGCGGCGCTGTAAGCCGACGTCAAATGTGAAGGCAACATGAGGCGATCGTGTGAGCATCATTTTAATTTGAATCGCAGCTTGGCGCGCGCGTTCGTCGGTTTTTGCGGTCTGATGCCTCGGCGTACCGCAGCGGAGCAGCGTAAAGTGGACCGGAAGGTGGCGAAGACCGCGGAAGAGGCCGCGGAGTGCAAGCGGCTCAAGGACGCACACGACGATTTCAAGAACTCCGACGCGGCGCCCGGGCCGCACCGCGACAAGAAACTCAAGAAGCTCTACGACGACTGGTACGACTACTACGCGGCCACCGGCAACGGCAAGCGGCAGATCAAGCGCGAGGCGCAGAACTCGCTGAGCAACAACCTCCACAAGAAGCTCGAGGCCGCGCGCGCCGACGACACGCTCCGGGAGACGACGAAGAAGCAGAAGGTCGACGAGCTCGCGGCGCAGGCGGCCGCCGCGAAGGCGAAGACGCACGCGGCGGAGGAGAGCGCCCGCAACGACGCCAAGCGCCAGAAAGTCATCGACCTCCGCGAGGACGCGCGCGCGGTCGCCGCCGACGCGAGTTTGAAGCCGTCGACGCAGAAGCGGAAGCTCTCCGCGCTCGCGAAGCAGGTGGCCGCCGCGGAGGAGGACACGCACGCGGCGCAGCAGCGGCGCCAGCGCCTCGCCGCCTACGCGACGCACCAGGAGCTCGCGGATGAGCTCGCGGTGCTCCTCGACGACGAGGACGCGGACGAGGACGACGTCGCGGACCTCACGGCGCGCGTCCAGGCCGCGGAGGAGGACACGCCCGCGGCGCGGTCGCGGCGCCAGCGCCTCGCCGCCTACGCGGCGCACAAGGCGCTCGCGGATGAGCTCGCGGTGCTCCTCGACGACGAGGACGCGGACGAGGACGACGTCGCGGACCTCACGGCGCGCGTCCAGGCCGCGGAGGAGGACACGCCCGCGGCGCTGTCGCGGCGCCAGCGCCTCGCCGCCTACGCGGCGCACAAGGCGCTCGCGGATGAGCTCGCGGTGCTCCTCGACGACGAGGACGCGGACGAGGACGACGTCGCGGACCTCACGGCGCGCGTCCAGGCCGCGGAGGAGGACACGCCCGCGGCGCTGTCGCGGCGCCAGCGCCTCGCCGCCTACGCGGCGCACAAGGCGCTCGCGGATGAGCTCGCGGTGCTCCTCGACGACGAGGACGCGGACGAGGACGACGTCGCGGACCTCACGGCGCGCGTCCAGGCCGCGTGGCTCAAGACCGGCGCGGGGTACAGCGCCGCGCGCCGCTTGGCGGACCTCGAGGCGGAGATCCGCGCCTCCGCCGCGACGGGCAAGGTGCCGCCGGGCAAGATCCTGGAGCGCGCGCGCGCCATCGCGCGCGCCGTCGTCGACTACTCGCTCCAGGAGATCCGCGCCGGCCGCCGCGTGTCCATCGGCAACGCGCGGTTCGGGCGCATCCTCGAGGAGGCCAAGCGCGTGCCGCGGCGCGAGGGCTTCGCGGTCAAGGGCCCGCGCGGCGGCACGCTGCCCTGGAGCCGCTTCTCTTTGAAGCTGTTCCCGCGCGTCGCGGAGACGGTCGTCGGGAACGTCGCCGAGAAGTACGCGCACAACATGCTCGCGAACCACGAGGCCGTCACGCTCGACGACTTCGCGTACGACAACTTCGGCTCCGGCGGCGTCCACCACGACGAGGAGCTGGGCGACACGGGCCTCTACGTGCTCTCCCTGGAGCCCCGCGCGACGGACACGACGCGGCCGTCGCGCTACATCCTGGGCCGCGAGGTCGAGTTCAGCGACGAGTTCGAGGCGGAGCTCGCGGCGGGGCGGTCGCCCGCGGGCATGCCGACGTCGGCGCGGAAGGACGACCTCGACGTCTACATGCAGGACTTCTCGGCCACGGGGAGCCCGGTCTACCGCGTCTACACGCGCGGCACGTGGGCCGTCTTCACGTACAAGAAGAAGCCCGACTCGCCCTTCAACGGCCTCCAGAAGTTCAAGTGGGGCTCGTCGGCCGTCGCGCGCGCCAAGGCCCAGGCGAAGATCGACGAGAAGTCCGTCAAGGGCAACTACGTCGTCGTCGGCTCGGACAGCTGGGTCTAGGCGCGGCCGGACGGGGGCAGCGCGCCGCTCAGCGGCCTTCGTAAGGTGCGCCTGTGAGCCCTCAATATTGAAGGATCGATGAACGGCATCGCTGGCCAGCTCCCGAAGAGGCGAAGCCGGCCCCCTGGTCCGCGGCGACGACGGCTACTACGAGCGCCGCGCCGTCGAGCTCGCGTGCGACTTGAACGGCGCCTTCACGCGCCTGTGCATGGAGGGCGTCTACGACGCGACGCGGAAGCGCGTCCTCACTTTCTGCGGCCCGACCGTCGTGGACCTCAAGGCCGTGCGGAACCACGAGGGCGTCTCCTTCAAGACCAACCCCGACGTCTTCAGCGCGGCCCGGGCGCCGTGGTCTGCCATGTCGGACCCGACCGTCGCGCAGGTCGACCACGCGCCGCTCGAGGACGCCGGGGCCCTGGGCCTGGTCGCCGAGGCGACGTACATGGCGCGAGCCGGCGTCGACGAACCGCGCGCGACTTCAAGTTGCAGAGAACCAATGCGAGTTGAGTGGCAACAAACAAACGTTTGTTACGCAGAGCTTGAGCGGCTCAGACTCTACATTAAATTTTGGGCTGCTTCGATGCCTGCACATGTAGGTCGGCGACCAGCTCATCGTGAACGGCGGCCTGCGGCTCGAGTTCGCGCTGCGCCACCCCGTCGCGCACATGGATGCGGCCTCGTCGAGCTCGGCGAGGCGTCGAGGCTCAGCGAGCAGCCCTACAAGGCCCGCGCGCTCGCCTTCCTCGAGCTCGACTTCGGGCTGCTCTTCGCGGACCCCGTGACGAGCTCCGCCTTCCAGCACCTCGCTGCGCAGCTCAAGTTCCTGCTCGCGGTCTACAGCGACCCGAAGCCGACGGACACGTTCGGGCTCGCGTGCGACGAGCTGCTCCCGACCGTGCGCGAGGCCTCGACCGCGGCGGCGCGCATCTTCGACCTGCTCTGGCCGCCGCTCCACCAGTCGAAGTCGGGCCGCATGTTCGCCTGGCGCACGCCGAGCGCGCACACCTTCTTCGTCCACTTCCTCTCGACGTTCGAGAAGAACGAGTGCCACCTGGGCCGCTACAACGAGGAGGTCTTCGAGAACGCGCACATCCTGAACAAGAAGCTGCTCCACGTCGCCGTGTTCCCGGCGCCGACGCACGTCCTCCAGTAAACTTACGAGCTAAAGCTGAACAAATCCGAAGATGTTGAACTCAAAGAAAATTCATGAGGCCCCCCGCGCCATGGCGACGACCTCCGCGACGTCCGGCGCGTCGCTTCGGAGCGGCTTGTAGAGGTAGCGCAGCGGGGCGACGTCGAGCGCCTCGAGGCGGTCGTAGCCCGCGGTGTCGTAGAGCTCGAGCGCGGGGACGTTGTCGCGGTGGACGTGGAGGAAGACGGAGTCGTAGCCCCAGGCCGCCGGCCCCGCGAGGTGTTCCGCGGCGGACACGAGCGCGCGCGCGAGGCCCCGGCGCCGGCACCGGTCCGCGACGCAGACGTTCGCGACGTAGGGCCGCGGCGGCGCCGCGGGCCGCCCGGGCTTCAGGAGCCCCGCGAGCCGGTCGAAGGCGGGCAGCGGCGTCGGGTGGGCGCCGTCCGCGTCCCGCAGCCGCAGCTCGACGGCGCCGACGCACTCCGACCCGCTCCGCCGCGCGGCCAGCAGGACGACGGCGTCGCCGTCGCCGGTGGACGCGCCCGCGACCTCGGGCCGCCGCAGGCGCGCGCCGCAGCGCGCCCGCAGGCCGAAGGCGTACTCCGCCACGTCGTAGGACCGCGCCGCCGACGCGACGGCGCCGAGCGCCGCGTCCTCCCACGTCGGCTCCTCGCCGCCCGAGTACTCGACGACGACGCTCGGCGCGAAGGACGCCGCCAGGAGCTTCGCGACGCCGTCGACGTCGCCGCCCTCCATGACGCCGAGCACGATGGGGTCCCCGTCGTCGAGGCTCGCGAGCCGCGGGCGCAGCGCGCCGCCGCCGGCGATGCACCCGAAGGACTGGCTGTCGAGCCAGGGCCGGAGCGCCGCGTGCTCCGCGAAGGGGACAAGAGCATTTATCCTGGCGAATGTGATACATAGAAGAAGCTGCTGGCGCAAATTGCGCCCGTTGCTGCTCCCAGCGCTGGCGCGGGAGCCCATAGCTAGCACTTCGCTCTGCAACCCAAAGTCGCTGCAGTGCACCTTGCTGCAAGGCCCGCACCTCTCGTACGCGTCCGCGAGTATACATGGCGCGACGTTCGAAGATACATTAAATCGCCCTCAGAGCTTGACGCCAAAGTCGGCGTAGGACACGACGCCGCCGGCGTCGCACGCGGCGCGCCACTCCGCGACGGTCGGTCGCTTCGTCTTCCCGTTGCCCTTGCTCTGGAAGAGGACCATGGAGCCGAGGACGAAGGCGATGCCGAGTTTGAACTGGCCCGACGCGCGGGCGTCGGCGGCGACCGCCGCCGTGAGGACGATGGCGATCGCGGACGCGAAGTTCTTCGAGATCGCCGACGCGTACTGGATCGTCGCGCCGATCAGCAGGCCGCCGACGGCCTTGCAGAGGACGACGGTCCAGACGAGGGGCGTGAACTTGGCGAGCTCGCCGAGGAGCGTCGAGCAGGCGGGCAGGGCCGGGACCGTGCAGAGCGCCGTCAGCAGCGAGAGCTGGAGCTGCCGCGGCCAGAACGCGCCCGTGCCCTTGTTCTTCCCCTTGAGGATCTTCTCGAAGTAGACGTTGGCGAAGCCCGACAGGGCGCCCGACGCCAGGCAGGCCAGCGCGCCGGCGATCGCGCCCGACGGCACGCCGCCCGAGGAGGCCATCGCGCGGGCGAGGACCAGCGCGCAGCCGGCCATCAAAGCGGGCTGCGCGGCCCACTGGCGCTTCGACAGCGTGCGCCCGAGGAGCGTCACGGAGAAGGCCGCCGTGAAGAGCGTCTTCGACTGGCTCAACACGAGGTAGACCGTCGACGACAGGCGCTCGTGCGCGAAGAAGAAGAGCACGTTTTGCGCCGCGAAGCATAGCGCGGGCACGCCGAGCACGACCATGTCCCGCGGCCGGCCGTAGGCCGCCGCCAGCGTCTTCCGCTGCTCGGCCACGGGCGTGCGCCGGGCCGCGAGCCAGCAGAGCGCGAGCAGCGGCTTGACGAACTCCTGCGTGATGCTCGCGACGGCGCCCGAGTAGTCGCATGTCTGGCACGCGCGCCGCGCGAGGAGGCTCGTCCCCGCGGACTGCAGCACGAGCGCGAACATGATGAGGCCCTTGCAGAGGTTCGTCTCCGTGAAGGGCCGCGCGTCGGCCTCCGCGTCGCCGGAGCTCACCACCTCCAGGGCCAGGCTCGCGCGCGCGGCGACGGCGCGGCGCGGCGCGCGCAGCGGCGCATGGGTGCACGGGCGCGCGGGTCGCGCGACCAGCCGCCGCGCCGGCGAGCGGAACGCTGCAACGGACGCGAGCGCGCACGCTGCGAGCAGCCTGCGGGCAAAGGTCGAAGCCATCATGGCGATGAGAGTGTGTTTCACTTTGCCCCGGCGGAGCTCTGCCGGCTCGCCAGAGTCGGGGAGGCAGAGCCCGGCAGCCCGTCGCCATTCGAACGACGTCGTCAACCGCAGCCCCATGAGCGACTCGTCCGACTCGTCCGACTCCGAGCCCGCCCCGGGGTCCGCGGCCGCGCTCGCGGCGGCGGCGGCGAAGAAGAAGAAGAAGGCGCCCGCGAAGAAGAAGGCGCCCGCGAAGTCGCGGGCGCCGGCGAAGAAGAAGGCTGCCCCGCCGGCGGACAGCGACGTGGTCGTCGAGAAGCGAAAGCGGAAGTCGAAGGCCGAGGGCAGCCGTTGCGGCGGCAAGCAGACCAAGTGGACTGCGGAGGAGAACGAGCTGTTGCTCCTCCTACGCAAGGAGACGAAGGACGACGCGGAAGAGGAGCGGCACGACCGCAATCTGGGAAAAGACGGCGAGGTCGTGGCGAAGATGACCTCCGTGATCATCAGGCAGATGCAGAACCGGCTCTTCGCCGACGCCGCGGATGAAAGGTACGGCCACGTGGCGCACGTGTACGCGACGCTCCGAAAACGGTTCACGGACGACGAGGGCAAGCCGCAGCACGGTGTGGCGAAGAAGCTACAGGGGCGGTTGGCGGCCATAAAGAAGGAGTTCGACAATGAGTACCACCGGCGGCTGAAGGGCACGGGGGAAGCGCGGACGGCGACGGGCACGGCCACGGCGATGGCGAACGCCGTCGCGGACGCGGACGGAGCCGCGCTGGGGCCCGACGAGGAGGTCCGAGAACTTCATGGCGAGGAGGAGGCGGCGGCCAAGAGGAAGATCGCCGGCTTCCTCTGGACGGAGGCGGCCTACGAGTACGCCCTCGAGCTCTGGGGCGACGACACGAAGATTACCCGGCAATACGCGTCGGCGGAGTCGGCCCTGCCGTCGCCCGAGAAGGAGCACACGGTCGCGGACGACTCCCCAGCGGCCAGCGACGACGAGGAGGACCGCGGGCGGGACGAGGAGGAGTCCGCGGAGCGGCCCGAGTTCGCGCCGCCGTCGCCAGCGCCGTCGTCGTCGCCGCCGCGGTCGCCACCACCACGGTCGCCCTCGCCGGTGTCCGCGCCTGGGAGCCCCGAGGACGCCGCCTCGCCTGCGCCGGCGCCGGCGCCTGCTTCTGCGACGAGCGATTCGCCGCGCGACAGCGGGCGATCGGCGACCCTGCGACAGAAGGCGGCCGCGACGCGGACGAAGAAGCGCAAGTCCCTCGACGGCAAGAGCGGCGACGACGACGGGTCCGAGGGCGGCGGCTACTCGCACAGCCTCGAGGCCATCTTGGGCATGGCCAAGACGAGCAACGAGTACTCGCGGACGTCCGCGAAGGCGTCGGCGAGCATCGCGGCCTCCTTCAGTGCGATCGCCGGCGCCAACAAGCCCAAGCCCACGGACGACGCGACCGAGGTGCGCCTCACAAAGCTCGAGGACGGTATGACGGGTATGCAGAGTGACGTCAAAGACATCCTCGGACTCCTCCGCGCTCAAGCCGCGGCACCCGCGGCGCCTACTCCTCCCGCCCCGCCCAGCCCCACCGAAGCCGCAGCTCCTTCGCCGAAGGCGAAAAAGAAGCGTGCTCGCGCGGCCCCGGCCCCCGCCCCAGCTGCGGCCGCGACGACTCGTCCGCGACGCGGCACTGGCAAGTAAGTTGACAACATTTTGAATGCGATCGAGCAGGGCTTCGGCCGCCGAAGCCCTCGGCCGCGTGCGCGACGTCGTCGTGCACAGGAGCGCGTCGCGGAGCGTTCTCGCACCGTCGCGGCAGCGCGCCTGCAGCTTTGCGAGGGCACGGCACCGCGGCTCCAGCGCGTGCTCGACATCTAGGACGGCAAGGACGACACAGCGGCGCCTCGCGGCGGCGGTCATGCACTGGGACCCGGGCAAGCTCCGCGCGCACGACCGCGTCGCCGTGTCCGAAGCCATCGCGAACGAGTCAGTCTCGCAGACGAGGCTCGCCGCGTGCGTCGCGCGCCAGGTCTACGAGCTCGCGCTCGTCGCGGCGTCGCGCGCCTCGCGCTACGCGCCGCCCGAGGACGACTACGACGACGTCGTCTGCCTGTCGCCGCCGCCGACGCGGTCCGCGCGCGCGACCGAGGCGCCGCACGAGCCCTGGACCGCCAAAACTTCGACCTCGCGCGCGCGGTCCGTCCCCGCAGCCGCCGCGCCTCGCGCTCTTCGCGGCGGTCGGCGCGTCGCCTCCTGCTCCACGGTTTCGCGCAGGCGGACCTCGAGCTCTTCGTTGTCGTCGCGCATCGCGTGTCGCTGGCCCTCCAGGACACGATGCGCCGCTGGGACATCGCCGGGGCGGAACTTAGAGCGGGACCATGCGGTCCAGGAGAGTCTGGCGGTAGGCGATCGCTCCAGGAGCGGTCGTCGTCGGGACGACGGGACGCCCGACGTAGTCCGGGTCTTCGTCGCCGACGTCGGGCGTCGTGGCGAAGCGCCGGAAGCGGCTCGTAAAACCCTGGTCCATCTCGTCGATGGTGACGTTGTGGAGGACAACGCAGGCCTTGACGATGGTGTTCCATTCTTCGGGAGTTCGCTGGCGCAGGCCCACGCGGAGGCATCGCCACTGGCCTTTGAGCTTGCCGTATGCGCATTCGACGACGACGCGCGTCGCCGAGAACCGCGCGTTGTACGTTTTCCACCGGGGCTTCGCGACGGACGCCGACTTCGGAAAGCCCTTCTGCAGCCAGCGCGTGAACGGGTACGCGCTGTCGCCCATGATGAAGTACGGGTGCGGGACATACCTACCTCGGGTGGCTGAGTGAGAGAACGCGCGCAGACGCGACTCGCGGACTGCGGGCCGTGCGTCCAGAGCGCGCTGTCCTGGAGCGCCTGCACGTCGCTGCCCTGGCCCGGGAGCCCCACGTGGACGTGAATGAAGCGCCCGACGGCGTCGACGAGCCCGCTGAGGATGATGCTGTACCAGCCCTTCCGGTTGAAGAAGTCGTCGTGTATTTCCGTCGACGGTTCCACCCCGATATGGCTCCCGTCGAGCACGCCGAGGACGTGGTCGAAGCCGCTCCAGGCCTTGAAGGCATTGGCGGCGGCGGCGCGCTTCGCCTCCGAGTTGGGCCAGTGCCGATTGACGTAGCGGGCGGTGAGCTCCGACACGACCGCGGACGTGAAGGCCCTCACGCACCGCATGACCACGGACCCGCTGAGGTTCCTCCTGAAGACCTGCGCCGTCCCCCGGTACGTGGCCCCCGTGGCCAGCTGCCAGAGGGCGATGAGGGCGACCTCGTCACCGTTTCGAAAGTGCAAGAAGTCGTTCGACGTGTCGCGGAGCTGCTTCGGGGCCCGAGACCTCAAAAGCGGTCGGATCGTCTGCATAATGGTCTGGTAGGCCTCGAAGGAGAGCCGGAAGTGGCTCCTGAACTTCTCCTTCATGCTCGCGATGAGGTAGTCTACATCTTCGTCATCATCCGGCGGGTCGAACAGGATCACAAAGTCGTCGTAGATGCCATGCCCTCGGTTCGGCGGGCGGACTGGGTTCTCCTCGCGCGAGGCCAGGCGATGCCAGAGCTCCCGGCGGGCGCGACGGCGTTGACGCAGTAGAGCGCGGTTCGAGCGGCGGTCGCGCCGGTCGACGACGTCGGCCAGAGCCAGCCCCGCGGGAGAGAGCAGGAAGGGCACCTGCGGCATGCACGTGATAGCCGCCGCTGCGCCGCAAAGGAGGAGCAGCATCTCGAGGCTGAGGTCCGTCGCCGCCGTCCCGAGCACGACGGGCGCGACGGGCTCGCCGTCGTCCGAGGGCGGCGGCAGCGACTCGTCGTCGAGGAGCACCGGCGCAGGCGTCCGGAACACCGGAGCGCGGCGCGGCGCGCCCCGGCCACGGCCACGGCCACGGCCACGACCGCGGCCACGGCCCAGGCGCGCGGTCCTAGCCATCGGGCTGCCTTCGAGTCCGGAGCTCTGCAGTGGTGTCGAGTGCAGAGCTCGGGGCAGCTCTGCCGGCCTGGGCAGAGCTCCGGCCGGGGCAAAGTGAAACACACTCTGAGCTGCGCTGAACCACTGCCTTTTGGCCTGTTTCAGCCGCTGGCGCCGCCGCCGTCTGGCCGAGACGGCGGCTGTACCGCGTCGATTTGAGCGCGGTAAAGCCGTGACGCGCGGCGCATAGACCCAACGCGTGGGCCTGACTACTTTTTTCCAGCGAATCGCGGGCGCGCGGGCGCGCGGAGGTCGCGCTCTCGACGAATATATGCTCAAATCGTGTCGATCCCACCTCTCCGAGCCGCTCGTGGCATCATAGAGAGCCGTTTTGTTACCGCGGTCTGCTCCATACACGCCTCGAGCGGACTGAACCGCGAGAACACCCTCGGGGACTGTTTCGACTCCGCGGCCGCGCGTTCGAGACGAGCGCCGAAACGCCGACACGACCGCGAACGCTGCCAAAACGCCGACGGACGCCAAGACGCGGAACCGCTTGCGCAGCGCGACGATGGGGTTACGATAGGACACGATCGACGCCCCTGCGACTCCTGGCACGCCCGAACTCGCGCAAAGTCTAGGATCGTAGGGTATGGTCGCAAATCGATCCCTTTTGAGCCGATTTCGGACGCGCGCGACCGCGTTCGCGCGACTACTTTTGCACCGCGTTGTCGGCGCAACATATCTGGAGCGCGTGGGAAGCGGAACGGCTGGAATCCATGCTGTAGCGGCTGTAAAAGGTCTCAAAGCTTGTCACATGCTCTCTGAGCTGCTCGGAGAGCGGCCCGAGCGAGTTGGCTGGGGATCACGCCGGGAGCGGCGGGCGCCGTCGGCCAGTGCGCGCGACGATGGTAGTTTCTATGGTGAAAAATTGGTAAGCACCGGCGGGTGCGCCTAAGGAAGGGCCCAGCAAACTTTCACGCCCAGTTGTGAGGGTGTTGCAGCGATCGGATGGCGTTCGTCCGATCCCTAGAGGGAATCCAGCCCCAAACCGACCCTTACGCGACGACACACGAGTCGTTTTCGGCGCTCTAAAGGGCCGCGCGCACGTCGGCATGACCATACGCGACGGTCCGGCCAAAAAGACCGCGCGACGGCAGCGTTTTAGAACGAGTCGCAGGGACGCGTCCGACACCTTGGGCGAGTCGTAGGGGCCCGTTCGTCAGCCGTCGTAGCTCGCGCGCTCTCGGAGAAGTCTGTTTTGACGTACAAAAGCACGTCATGATCTCGGTACAGCGTTCGCGCCACCGCGTCGAGGTCGCGAGCGCGTGCGAAATCCGTCTCCCAGCGCACCCGCGGGTTGGAACACGTCGAGACATATACAAAGCAGCTCCCATCGCAAAACGGCACGCTACGAAGCCAGTGGGCGCGCAGAAACGCTGGACCGCACCGATTGCAGTCGCTCCGTGCCGCCACCACCAGTGTTCCTCGCGCGCAGACGCGCCGCGCGCCGGAAAAAAATAGGCAGACCGACGCGTCGGGTCCATGTGTGGAACGTTAGGGCTTTACCGCGTCGAAATCGCTGCAGTACAGCCGGCGCGAGGGCCAGACATCGTCGATTTCCAGCGGCTGAAACATCGGCTGTCAGCCCAAAAGGCAGTGGAACGTCAACCTCGTGGAGCAGCCTTCCACAGTTTCTGTTCGCGTCGCGTCCGCGCGCCCGCACCCGTCGCGGGGCGCCAGGGCTTAGCGGAGGGGTGGGGAGAAGAGAAGGGGGTTCAGGCGCTCGCGGCGATGATCAGCATGTCGTCGTCCGAGTCGGAGTCGTCCGCCGGCGCGGGCGTCGACGGCGCGGGGCCGAGCGGCGCGAGGGCCGCGGCCGGCGCCGGAACCTCCGCGGCCGCGGGCCCGAGGGGCGGCGGGTCCGCGCGCGGCGACACGCGCATGGACGGCGGCCGGGGCACGCGGACGCGCGGGTTGTAGGGCGGCGTCGCCGCGGCGGCCGGCGGCGGCGGGTGCGGCGGCGACGGCGCGCGCGCGCGCTGGCTCTGGCGGCGCGGCGGGCAGTCCGCGGCGACGAGGGGCGCGCCCTCGTACTTGCAGGTCTTGGTGTGGGCGATGGCGGCGGGCGCGTGGCCGAAGACGCGGCCGCACTTGCGGAGGCACGGGTAGAAGCCGTTCGCGTCCTGGGGCACCTTGCTCTGCGCGTGGTGGTTGCGGCGGTGCTTCGTCTTGCCGAGGCCCACGGGCGCGGCGGCGGCCTGGGGCCGGAGCGCGTAGTGCATGGGCTGGTCGACGTCGACGGCGAACTCGGCCGCGTGGCAGACGGGGCACTTGGCGGCGACGGACCGGCCGCGGTCGTCCCACGTGATCGCGCCGACGGTCGCGAGGCAGGTCTCGTGGACGGCGTGGTCGCAGTGGGCGAAGGTCACGTTCGCCGGGATCTGGGAGTCGTGGCAGAGCTGGCAGGGCACGACGAGCTTGGGCCGCCGCGGCGCGGGCGCCCGCGGCGGCGGCCGCGCGCCGCCGGGCGCGGGCGCCGCGTAGTGGCCGAGGTACTCGCCGGGCGGCGGCCGGTACTTGGGCGCCGCGCGGACCTTCTTCTTCGGCCGCGGCGCGTACTCGTCGACGAGCGCGACGGCGGGGCCGAGCACGCGGACCGTCGCGCCGACGTAGAGCTCGTCGCCGTCGTCGAAGCCGTCGGCGAACTCGAGGCTGTCCTCGTGGTAGTAGCCCTCGCCGTCGCCGAGGAGACCGCCCGCGCCGTTGGCCACGAGGAAGTGGCCGTCGTCGTCGACGGCGACGACGACGCCCACGGCGTCGCGCCGCGGCGCCGCGCGTTTTTTGGCCGAGAAGTGGCCCTTGACGGACGCGGACCGGCTCACGACGCGGACGCGCGCGCCGGGCTCGAGCAAACCGCCGGGCGCCGTCGCCTCGAGCTGGTGGCGCCGGTAGGCCTTGGTCGCGTTCGCCGCCGCGCCGTCGTGGCGCACGGAGAACCTGTGTGGATTCCAACCACTGGTTTGGGGGGTCCCCACCAAACTTCAGAACTCTCTATCTCGGTCAAATCGAAGTCGATTCGGCTGATTTTTGGACGAATCGATTGCTCTCGTCGAGTTCTCGAAGCACGGCAGAAAGCCTCGCGTCGAAACCGTCGAATATGCGCACATTGAAGTCGGGTTGAAGATTTGGAATCCACACAGCGGAGAACCAGCCGCCCTCGCCGAACGAGAGGATGACGCCCCTGGCGCCGTCCGACGGCGGCCGCCGCGGCCGCGACGCCGCGACGGGCGGCCGGGCGACGAGGGCCGCGAGGCGCCGCGTGGACAGCACCTCCTCGTAGCCGTCGGCGGCGTACCTGCGAGGCGCGTCCTCGGACGGGACGCGACCGCGCGGGGGGCGCGGGCGGCCTCGCGAGACCTTCCAGCCGCGCTTGCCCGCCTCGGACGTGGCGCGGTCGACGACGACGCCCTCGTAGACGTCCGAGCCGCCGGCGTCGTCGCGGAACTTGCGCGAGAAGACCTGGCCCGCGAAGACGACGGGGTCTTCGGCGTCGCTGCCCTCGTCGCCCGCGGACGAGCCCTCGGACTCCGTCGACGCGTCGAAGACGTCGTCGGCGCCCGCGGCGCCCGTCGCGCGCAGGACGCGCCCGGCGCTCGGCGGCGGGGGGACCGCGGCCGCGGGCTTGGGCACGAGGCTCAGCGCGTCGCCGGCGCCTGCGCGGTCGCGGGTCGCGGGTCGCGGGTCGCGGGGGGGTAATTTCGTCGCGCGGGGGCCGCGCGGAGCGCGTCGCCGAGGGCCGCGTCGTCGTCGAGGATGAAGTCCGCGCCGCGGCTCCGCAGGGCGAGCACGAGCTCGCCCGCGGCCGGCGGCGCGAAGGCGTCGCGCGCCGCCTTGGCCGCGTCCGCCGCCGCGAGCGCGCGAGCCGCGGCCAGGGGGCACGCGCCCCGCACGGCGCCGCCGACGAAGAGCGCGACGGTCTCCGGCGCCTCGGCGTCGCCGGGGCCCGCCGCCGCGAAGAGCGGCGCCGACGCCTCCGGGGCTGCGTCCGAACTCTTCTCGCCCACGGCCCCGGCCGTGAGAGACTCGACGCCGGTGGTCCCGGCGAAGACCTCCGGGCCCGTGTCGACGCGCAGGTGGTCGACGTAGGGCACGTCGAGCGTCACCGGCGGCGGCGCGACGATCATATCGAGATCTCCGGTTCACGGGCTGCAGGCACCGCAGATGATCCGCTTCTGCGAGCGCTCGCCGAGGCCCGCCACACGAGACGACCTCTCTCGGCGCCGTACGCCTCGCCACGCCTCTCGCCGTGCGGCCGCCCTCCTTCCGGAGAGCCTCCGGGCAGCTCTCCTCCTTCGGACGTCTCTCGGGCCGCGTGGCCCGAGCCCGTCGGTCTCCGGCCACCTCCCCCCAGGACTCCCCCAGGAGGCCCGCGGTCGCGTGTCTTTTCGGGACTTCATACGCCATGCGACGAACGCCAGCAAGCACGAAGAAAAGGGGGCAAAATCATTAGACGGCCCAGAAGCCGACCTGCTTGAAGCGCGCGATCTTCTTGGCCTTGCCCACGACAAAGTTGTTGTGGACGACGACGACGCCGTCGCGCTTCTTCCCGTCGAAGTAGAGGTTCCCCGAGGGGAACAAGGCCTTCGATAGGGGGCAGTGCTTCGCGGGCTCGCGCTTGAGCAGGTCGTTGAAGAGGGGCTGGTTGAGGTTCGGCTTCGCGTCGAGGGCGACGGCCCACTTCGAGAGCAGCGCGCGCGTCGGCGCCGTGTTCTTGAACGCGAGGAACCCCGTGCAGTAGTAGGGCGACTGAGGCGTGCCGTCGTCGAGCTGGCCCCAGAAGTCGTAGGCGCCCGCGGCGAAGTGGGGCCGCGGGTCGGACAGCCAGACGGTGTCGACGTCGGTGTAGATGAGGCGCGGGTACTTGTCGAGGCCGCGCAGGATGTTGTGCGGCCGCCGCGAGACGAGCTTCTTGTAGTTCGGCGTCTCGTACGTGTGGTCCTGCGTCGGCAGCGCGCCCATCGTCGTCGTGATCACGGTCCAGTTACGCGACGCGGCGAAGGCGCTCCGCGTCGGCTCGTCCTCCGCGAGCAGGAGCACCTCCATGTTCAAGTCGAGCTTCGCGTACCAGTACCACCAGTTGCGAAACATGTCCTCGAAGCCGTGGGACACCGTGACGAGCACGGCCGTCCCGGGCTCGAGCCACTCGTTGGAGGCGTGTGCCGTGGGGACGGCGGAGGCCAGGGCGAGGGTCGCGAGGAGGAGGCGGCGCATGGTGGTTGTTGTTGCGGGTTGCGTGGCCTGGATGCGTCTCTGAAGGATGGACTCCCGGGTGTCGAATGGCTCCGAGGGTCTCACAGGCGCAGGAGCGGGGGGAAGGCCAGGCGTCAGGGTGGCCAGGCGTCGTGGACGGCCAGGTCGTGGCGCTGATCAGGAGACGATCGCTGAAAACTAGGAGGGGCAAAACGAGCCGACCGTCGTGCCGAGGCCGGCTTTGTCGCCGCCGTAATTTATGGGGATCTGGTATTGGGGAGTGCTTGGCGGCGACGGTGAGTGCGAGCTGCTTCGCGACTACTTGGAGATCGCTGGGGCCGACGTGCCTCCTGAGCAGTGGGGGGCGCCCACAGTCTTCAATGAAGGCACTGAACGTTGGCTCCTCGTGCGCCATGACGAGGAGTGGTACGTCAAGCTCCGGCGCGCGTATCGAAACGCCGACCCGCGCCTCGTCGAGGCCGCGTACCCGCGCCTCGTCGCGCACGCGCAACAGCGAGAAGACGGCGTCTTCGTCTTCGACATGTCCATGGGAGAGCGCTACGCGCAGACGGCACCGACGCGGTCCTGCGGCACGAATTCGTTTGTGGTTCTGTCGGCGCTCATTCTCGCGGCCGGCGCACGGGTCCCGACGCGGCTCCGCGAGGTGTGCGTCGCGGCGTGCCGCGGCAGTTTGGACGCCCTCCGCCTCCGGTGTGAGCCTATGGCGCGACTCCACGGTGGAGGATCGGTCGAAAATTTCGCGGGCGTGCAGAGCTCCAAAGCGTTCCTCGAGCTCGTGCGCAAGCACAAGCCGGGCACGGCGCGCGTGCTCACGTACGCCGTCGATGCGGACTTGAAGGCGAATTTCCGAGGAAATCCCGACAATTGGGCGCCCAAGGCCGCAGAGTTTACGTCGCGGCGCGTGAAGTCGTCGGGCGCCCTGTGGGTCCCCACGGAAGAAGCGCTGCCCAAGTCGCTGGATCGTGCATTCTTCGCGGCGTCCCCTCCCGATCAGGTCATGGACAACAAGAAGAACTTGTCGCGCGATCTCGTCGAAACGTTGCGAGACGATGCCGTCGAAACGCTGCGGAACGAATCCTCCGAGACCAAGGACATCTTGGAGGCGAGCCTCACCCGAGGGATCCGAGCGAGCGATCGCGCGTGCGACGTGTGCGCCGCGAAAGCGCGTCCCGACGGACAGGCATTGTTGCATTGTGCGCGCTGCCACTCGGTTTTCTATTGCTCTTCGGCCTGCCAAAAAAAAGGGTGGAGCGACGGCCACAAGAAACGCTGCAAGGCCCTGGCCGCGGCACGAGAGAAGATCAAAGAGAGCCAGAAGCAGACGAAGCAGCAGCTGTTCGAGGGCGGCCCCCGCGCGCCCTGAGAAAAGGCCCCTTGTTCAAGGGCGCCCCCGAGAAGAGGCCCCCTAGTTCTTAATCCGGTCGAGCATGGCCCAGTGCTCCCGGGGCGAGAGGATCGACGCCGCGGTGATCATGCCCGACGCGGCGACCGCGGGCATGCCGATGCCCGGGAACGTGCTGTCGCCGCAGACGTAGAAGTTGTCGAGGGGCGTCGCGTGGCCCATGAGCTGCTCGCCCGTCGACGCGGGCAGGTAGGCCCCATAGGTGCCCCGGTCGCGGCGGTTGAAGCGCCGGTGCGTGAGCGGCGTCGCGGGCAGCGCGATCTTCACGCGGTCGCGGACGTCCGGGATGTAGCGCTCGATGGCTTTCCACAGCACGTCGACGGCCTCCTCCTTGGCCGCGCGGTAGGCCCGGGACTGGTAGCCGCCGCTCTCGGCGAACGCCTCCCAGTCCTCGAAGGGCTCCGTCGCCGGCACGTACGCGTGGATCGCGTGGCAGCCGTCCGGCGCGAGCGACGCGTCGAGCAGCGACGCGACGGAGACGAGCACGAGGTTCCGCGGCGCGCCGACGCCGGCGTCCCAGTCGTCGAGCGCCGCCCACTGCGCGGGGAAGGCCTCCGACGGCTCCGACGGCAGCCCCGCGGCGTCGATGCCGACGTGCAAATGGAGGAACGACTCGCAGCGCGTCACGCGCGCCGCCTGGCCGTCGAGGTAGTCGAGAAGCGGCGCGTGCGCCGTCGACGCCACGAGCTTCCGCGTCGTCCAGAGGTCCGCGTTCGACACGACGACGTCCGCGGCGACGGCCGTGCCGTCCTCGAGCACGACGCCCGCGGCGGCGCCGTCTTTCACGGAGACGCTCGCGACGGGGGACTTGAGCCGCACCTCGCCGCCGTGCTTCGTGACGCCGCGGATCAGCGCGTCCACGATGCTCTTCGTGCCGCCGCGGGGAAAGTCGAGCAGCACGCCGTCCTTGTAGAAGTCGGACAGCATGTACGCCATCAGCGTCGTCGGCGCCTCGTCCGTCGTCGCGCCCTGCAGCAGGAAGCAGATCATGTCGAGCCAGTTCCGCAGGAACGGGTCCGTGACGCCCTCGGCGTCCAGGACCTCCGAGAAGGGCTTCGAGAGCGCCGGCGCGGGGCCGACCAGAAGCAGCTTCGCCATCTGCGGCAGGTAGCGGCCCAGCGTCACCGCGGCGAACGCGTCCTCGCGCACGGCCGCCGCGGGCACGCCGAAGATGGCCTCGCCCAGGGGCTCGACCTACCGAGCGCGACGGCGACGATGGTCCATCGTTTTCCCAGTCGAAATCTCTCGAAAATGGTCACGGCCACAGGACGCTGGGCTCGACGCGCTTCATCAAGCGCTCGAACTGGTCCGCCGCGCCCGGCCCGCCGTACGTCGGCAGGATCCGCTCGCGAAAGTCCTCGCCGCCGACGGCCGCGGCGAAGGTGCCCTCGGGGAAGGCCGTGCCCCAGCGGTCGTAGGTGATCCACGACGGCTCCTCGCCGATGATCTGGAAGACGTGCTTGAGCGGGTTCGGCGACGCCGCGGGCGACAGGCCCGCGTAGAGCGACGGGCCGTTCTCGAAGCGGAAGCCGTCGACCTCGTACTCGTGCGCGCAGCCGCCCGCGTGGTCGTGGGCCTCGACGACGAGCACCTTGCGGCCGAAGGACGAGAGCACCGACGCCGCCGAGAGGCCGCCGATGCCGCTGCCGACGACGACGGCGTCGAAGTGCTCCGGCGCGGCGCGGCGCTGCTGCGCGGCGGCGCGCCCCCACCACGTCGCGAGCGACGGCGCGCGCTGCTGCGGTCGTACGAGCGCTGCCGGCGTTGCGACGAGCGTCGCTATGATGGCTAGGCGCATTGTTGCACCACCGGAGAGGGCAGCATGCGCGTGACGCAGAGGCATCGCGCGCCACAAAAACTGCACGATCAGTGATCTTGACGCATCCGAAGCTCCACAGCAACTTTAGAAAGGGCGATATAGAGGCGGCGCAGCTTTCGGCCTAAACCCACAGCCTCTCGCCGCGTCGCGCGAGTCCCTCGCGCCGCGCCGCTCCCTCGACCATGGCGCCGGGCCTTAAGAAGCGCAAGCACGTGGACCGCAACGACAAGTGGTACGTGCTCGCCAAGGAGCAGGGCTACCGGTCGCGCGCGGCCTTCAAGCTCGCGCACATCAACAAGGAGTTCGACATCATCGGCGCGAAGACGCGCGTCGTCCTCGACCTCTGCGCGGCGCCCGGCGGGTGGGCCCAGGTCGCGGCCAAGGCCGCGGGCCGCGGCGCGGCCGTCATCGCCGTCGACCTGCTTCCCATCCGGCCGATCCCGAACGTGCGGACCATCGTCGGCGACATCACCATGGACACGACGCACCAGCACGTGAAGCGCGAGGCGCGGGAGGCCCTCGCCAAGTTCCGCGACGACGACGGCGAGGGCCGCGCGGGCCGCCACGTCGACGTCGTCTTATGCGACGGCGCGCCGAACGTCGGCGCGGCCTACAACAAGGACGCCTTCGTCCAGAACGAGATCGCGCTGTTGGCGCTCAAGTGCGGCGTCGAGTGCGGCCTGCGCCGCGGCGGGTCCTTCGTCACGAAGGTCTACCGCGGGCAGGACTACAACGCGTTGACGTGGGCCTTCGGGCGCCTGTTCGAGCGCGTGCGCGCCACCAAGCCCGCGTCGTCGCGCGCGCAGTCCGCGGAGATCTTCGTGGTCTGCTCGGGCTACCTCGCGCCCCAGAAGGTCGACCCGAAATTGTTGGACCCGAAGCACGTCTTCGGCGAGTTGGGAGGCGGCCTCGACGACGCGAAGCCGCTCGGCGTGCTCCACCCGCAGGCGGGCAAGAAGAAGCGCCAGCGCCAGGGCTACGCCGACAACGACTCGGGGCTGCTCGTCATGCCGACGATGACGGCGCTCCAGTTCCTGCGCCACGCGGACCCCGCGCAGATCCTCGCGGAGCGGTCCGCGATCGTCTTCGACGGCGCGCCCGACGCCGTCTGCCAGCACAAGGCGACGACGGCCGAGGTCCGGGCCTGCGGCGAGGACCTCAAGGTCCTGAGCAAGGGCGACTTCCGCGTGCTGCTCAAGTGGCGCGAGAAGCTGCGCAAGGCCGACGCGCACGCGCTCGGCGACGACGAGGTCGTCGACGAGTCCGACGACGCCGCGAGCGACGACGACGAGGTCAGCGTCGAGGACGACGACGACGACGCCGAGGCCGAGGACGTCGACAGCGACGACGAGGTCATGGCCCAGATCGCCGCGGCGAAGAAGGCCGTCGCGGCGGACGCGCGGCGCGAGAAGAAGCGCGTCGCCAAGGCCGCGGCGAAGGCGCGCGCGCGCCGCGGCGCGGGCATCGTCGAGCAGTCGTCCGTCGAGCTCGGCCGCGACGAGGACATCTTCTCCTTCGCCGCGGCGCAGAAGGCCGGCGGCGTCGACGCGCTCGAGGACCAGCAGCCCGAGGACGAGGAGGGGGAGGAGGACGGCGCGGACCGCGCGCGCGGCGGCCCGCGGCGCGGCCAGAAGCTCGCGGAGAAGTACGAGGCCTACGGCGACGACGCCGAGCGCGGCGCGGCCATCGAGGACCAGCTCGACGCGTCCTACGAGGCCTTCGCGGACCGCCGCGCGCAAAAGTCCGGCGCGCCGCGCGTCGAGAAGCAGCGCCGCGCGAAGAAGTACCGCGACGCCGTCGCCGCGGAGCTCGTCTCCGAGGACATGGCGCTCGCCGAGGGCGACGTCGACGACTACGCGGCGCACCTCGGCCGCGACGGCGACTCGGCGTCGAGCGGCGACGACTCGTCCGACGACGACCTCGACCCCGCGGCCCAGCGGTCCGCGAGCCGCTGGTTCTCGAACCCGCTCTTCGACGACGACGGCGCCGGCGACGGCGGCGACGCCGTCCCCGCCGACGCCGCGGGCCGCGCGGCCGCGCTGAAGGCGCTCGCGGCGACGGCCATGCCCAAGAGCGACAAGGAGCTGCGGCGCGAGAAGCGCAAGAAGGCCTCGGAGCGCCAGGAGCGGCGCGACAAGCGCAAGAAGCTCGACGAGGGCGGCGAGGACGACGCGCTGCACGTCGTGCCCCGGTCGGCCGCCGCGGACGCCAAGTCGCGCGCGGGCCTCGCGGCCCTCGCGCGCCTCACGCCGGCGCAGCGCGCGGCGCGCGAGGCCAAGGAGGCCGCGGCGACGGCGCTCATCAAGGCGGGCGTCGGCGCCGCGAAGCACGACGGCGCCGAGGGCTTCTCCGTCGCGCCGATGACGGCGGCGCTCGAGCGCGAGCGGAACCCCTTCGAGCAGGCGGAGCAGACCTACCTGAGCGACAGCGAGGACGACGACGACAAGGCCGAGACGCTCGCCCTGGCGACGATGATGCTCCGCAAGTCCAAGGCCAAGGAGCTCGTCGACGCGAGCTACAACCGCTACGCCTGGAACGACCCCAAGGACCTGCCGTCCTGGTTCCTCGACGACGAGAAGCGCCACTACCGGCCCCAGCTGCCCATCAAGCCCGCCCTCCTCGCCGAGATGAAGCAGCGCTTCCAGAATCTCGCCGCGAAGCCCATCGCCAAGGTCGCCGAGGCGCGCGCGCGGAAGAAGACGCGCGCGGACGCGCGCCTCAAGGCCGCGAAGCGGAAGGCCGAGGCCGTCGCCAACGACCCGGACATGTCCGCGGGCCGCAAGCTCAAGGAGGTCGAGAAGGCCATGGCGCGCGGCACCGCGCGCGACGCGCGGCCCGACAAGATCTACGTCGTCGCGTCCAAGTCCAAGTCCGGCGTCAAGAAGAAGACGAGCGCGCCCAAGGGCGCGGCCAAGGGCTCCCGCGTCGTCACCGTCGACAAGCGCATGAAGGCCGACAAGCGCGCCATCAAGGCCCAGGACAAGCGCAAGAAGAAGTTCGGCAGCGGCAAGCGCGGCCGCAAGTAGCCGCGCGCGCCCTAACGCGACCTTTGCCCTCGTTATCAGTCGGAGAACGCGAGGTCGTCGATGCCGCTGGAGTAGAGCCAGTCGCTCGGGAACGCGCCGCGGCCCTCCATCTCCTCGAGCTGCTCGACGAAGGCCATCGGCGTGAGCTTGCGGCCGTCGTAGGCCCGCCGCGCGGCGTCGAGGGCCGGCCGCGCGGCGTTGAGCTTCGCGCGCCACTTGAGCTCGGCGATGTAGGCGAGGACGTTGTGGATCTGGACGTAGTCGAGCGCGTCGTCCGCCGTCGGCGCGTTCGCCTCGTAGGCCGGCGCGCCCGCGGCCGCGAGCCGCGGCGCGAGCGCCGCGAGCTCGTCCTCGGCCGTGCGCCAGGTCATGGCCGGGGCGTCGTCGCCGCCGTCCGTGGCGCCCTCGAGCGCCGCGTAGAGCGCCTCGAGCGCCTCGAGGAGCGGCGACGGCTCCGCGAGCGCGAAGCCCGCGTTCTCCTCCGCGAAGCGGTCGTAATTCTCGAGGAAGCGGCGCACGAGGTCGCGGCGCCAGGCGTCGGCGTCTAAAAGCTCCTTGCGCGCGGCGTCGTCGAGGGCCGCGTAGGACGCGTCCGCCGCCGCGGCCTCGGCGCCGAACGCGTCGCGCTCCTCGCCGTCGCGCCGGAGCTCCTCCATGATGTCGCGCTGCACGCTGTCGTGGCGCTCGCCCGCGGACTCGCCGCGGCTCACGAGCGCGTCGAGCAGCGCCAGCGTCTGCCGCAGCTCGCTCCACATCGCGTCGCTCCGGTCGAGCACGTCCGCGCGCAGCGCCGCGACGGCGCCCTCTGCGCACGCGTCGTCGGCCTCGCGGCCGCGCTGCTCCGCCAGGGCGGCGACGTCGGACCGCCAGGTCTGCTCGAGGCGGTTCATGCGGGACCGCGCGAGGAGCGCCCACTCCCGCTCCGCGATGTCGTGCTCGAGGTGGCGCTCGAGCTCCTGCCCGAGCCGCGTCGCGCGGAAGTGGCCCACGTGCTCCGCCGCGCGCCGCGCGCGCAGCGCCGCGGCCCAGGCCGGCGCCAGCGCGTCGCGCGCGCTCGCCGACTCGAGCAGGAGCAGGGCCAGCGCGCCGCAGGCGACGACGAGCAGCGCGCAGCACCCCACGTAGGAGCAGCAGCGCCGCTCGGAGATGGCGTAGGCCGGCTCCTTGTCGTCGCGGCCCGTCTTCGTCTTGCGCAGGCCCAGCGCGTGCAGGGGCAGGTCGCTCATCTTCGGGTGGAGACGCCGCCGGGGCGCGACGGGCAGCGCCGGAGACGCCGGCAGGGGCGGCGCGCCGGAGGAGCTCGAGAAGAGTTCGCCTTGCCCGCGGCATCTTGTCGGAATGTTTACCCCTCGAGAAGCCACTGCGATTTTAATGCTTAGTAGGGTTTTGTAAAATACGACTTTATTTCAGGATCGACGAGCTAGCGGCACCGCTCCGCCGAGCGCAGGGGTCGATCCGGGGACGTAAGGTCGTTCTGGGCCGCGCCCGCGCGTCGCGACCATGCTCGGAGTCTTTGCGCAGCTCGCGCACCGCTCGGCGGGGTCTGGCGGCGCGCGCCGATTGACACCACGTCGCGTAGCTCGTCGATCCTGAAAATAAAGTCGTGTTTTAGAAAACCCTTGCAAGCATGAATTTTACCCCCGGCCAATGTCCTCGGCTTGTCCCGAGAGCCGTCGAAGCGCCTCGGAGAAGCGTGTTTTGCGCCGTGCGCGGCGCCATGTTCCCCGATTCCGTCGCGGAAAAAAACGTAGGAGCGCCGAGCCATGCATCCGACGGGCCTCTCCGCGCGGTGGCGCGGCTGGACGACGCGAGCGGAGCGCGAGCGGTCGTGCTCGAGCAGCGACCTTCGGCGGGTGGCGCCGATCGGGTGCGCAGCTGCGCCATGTCACTCTCCGGCGACAGCTACGCATCGAGGGGTCGGGTATGGTACCACCACGTCCGCGCGGACCGCTGGTCGTCGTCCGCGCGCCCCCGTTCTCGCGCGTCGGCGCGTCCGCGCCGATGCGCGTAATCGAGCCGAGCGGGTCCGATTCGGAGTCGACACGGGCGTGCCCGTGTCCTCCGAGTGCGTGGGGAAGGGGTCGGGGATGATGATCGATCGATCCAAGCGCTTGAGGTGCGTGACGCGCGCCATGCACATGTGCAACAACATGGTCGAGGTGTTCGGCCGCGTTCGGCCGAGGGATTCGAGGGCCTGCGCAGCTGCGCCACGTGACTCTCCGGCGACAGCTAAGCATCGAGGGGTCGGGTATGGTACCACCACGTCCGCGCGGACCGCTGGTCGTCGTCCGCGCGCCCCCGTTCTCGCGCGTCGGCGCGTCCGCGCCGAACGAGCGGTGGTCGCCGGGGTCCTTTGGCAGGGCTTTGCGGCCGCGCCTCGACCTTGCTCGAGGCTTCTGCGCCCGCCCTGTCCGCCGACGGTCCCGACCCGCGCCGTGGGGTGCGGGATCGCTGCAGAGAGCGAGTTTGTGGGTGTCAAGGACTAAATTTAGGCCTAAATGAAAGTCTAAATGAGCACTTTTGAGCCCCTGGAGGCGCTCCAAGGCGCTCTCTGCGGCGATCCAGCCGCCCGCGGCTGCGGTCGGGACCGTCGATGGACAGACAGGTCGCACAAATCTCGACCGAGGCCCGGACGCGGTCGAAACAGGCCGCGGAGACCATTCGCCGCTTCTCGGCCGAGACGCTTTCGGCAAGTGTCGGGGACCTTGTGGGCGTCGGAGACGGTGTAGATCGCCGTGCAGGAGCTCTATGATGTCGAACCGCCCGGCGGAACACAGCGACGGTGATCGGTCAACGCGAAACGCTGCGTTTGGCGCCGAAATCATTCGTTTTCGGGCTATTTGAGGCCACTTTTGACCAGAACAACCTCTCGCACGCCGATTTCGCAACCCGGGGCGACTCCGACGCCTTCGCCCGCTCGTAACGTATGGTCCACGCCTTCGACGACATCCAGACCGCCGCCAGCGGCCACAGGCGCACCGCGGCTCGCGTTTTCGGTCGAAGCGCTTCGGCGCCCGGCGGACATTCGCGAGGCGCCCAAAAATCGGCGCGCGACCAAAGATGCGTCGCACCATCGACTCGCACCATGATGGCGAGCATCCGGTCGCAAGAGCGCCCGAGAACTCATCGATTCACCGCCGCATGGCTGGACCGCTGGATTACGGCGTTTTGGGGCCCACGCTGTAGACGCACGCGCGCGTCTTTTCTGGAGCCAAAAAGCTGGTTACGGACGGCCCATAGGTCACAGACAACAGCGTAACCCGCGCGGGGGCTCACGGGGGCGCACGCGCGGTGCGCGGGCGCCGGCAATCTCTTGCCACAGCCATGAGGACAAGGGATCCGGGCCGCTTCGCGAGGGGTAATACATGTTGATGGTGCGCAAAGCGCGCGCCAGGCGCGAAGAGCCTTCCCTTACAAGGTCCTCATGAAATCGCGCGTGGCAGCGATAGCGGTGGCAACTTCGGCGGTGCCCGGCTCGTACGCTGTGGTCGCGAGGACGCAATCCCCGATCGCCCAATCGGCCCGCGTGAGCGCGCGCGCGCGGTGCTCGGCCTCACACGTGAGCCTCAGCAACGACCGGATCCGGCAAGAATCTTTTGAAAATGTGGATGTGAGTTTGACCCATTTTGGGGCCGTAGCACCAGAGGAGTTCCCCGTCGATACTAGTACACATTCTGCCAAGGCAGCCGCCGTCCGGTGATTTGATGACTTGTAATGGCGCGCCATCGGGAAGACCCAGAACCTGGATCCGTCGACCTCGTTCCTCACTAACATATAATCGTCCGTGGGCGACAGCGACGCCATATGGGCAATTGAACTCTCCTGGTGGCAGCTGCGGCAGGTCCGTATCATCATAGGCGATGGAGGAGTATTCGGAGTGGGGGGGGGGAGTTGTACGGAGCTAGCCCTGACGCACTTGCACCGAAAGCACGGATAAATTCCCCAGTTTCATGATTGAAGACCTTCACTTGGTGGGTGCTGCAATCGGCTACATAACACAAAGCTCCACTCACCGCAAAAGACGTAGGGCGACGCATGTACAATTCATTGGCAGCATCTTTGTGTGCAAACCGATATCGAAACGTACCAACTCTAGCGTCATACACAGAAATTCCCCCGACCTCGCCAGAGAGGGCCTCCTCACCGATGTACGTTTCGCTCAGATTCAGAACCAAGAGCTTGTCTCCAACGAGCGCGAGATCTTGAGGGCGATAGGTAAAACCGCCGTAATCAAACTGAGGTAGCTGCATGAGACGCGCGTTGGCGTTCAAGTCGAATTTCGCAACGCGGTCGTCGTCTGATTCGATTATCCAAGCTGTGCCGTCGCCAAGGAGAGCCACGGCAGTCGGAGTTTCCAAAGCAAACTCGTACTCGGTCGGATCGTCCGGATCTGGAATTGGCGTGCAGATTTCACGGAGAAGGGCGCCGTCTCGTGAGAATGCCTTCAAGACAAAGTTACCGTAATCGGCGACCATGAAACCGCCGTCCAGCGCCGCGACGATCCCGCCATCGTAATTGAACCCCCCGACGCGGTAGACCGCGCGTAGCTTCCCGCAGAGCATTCGCGCCCGGGGCTCTAGCCAGCTCTTGTTTGGCGCACCGCTCTCCCACACCTCCTCGTGCGAGAGATAGGTCAGCACATGGCCTAGCACATCGCTCGAGAGAGCTTTTTGAGAGCGGTCAGCCATCACCGTCGATTTCGACCAAGCCCGGTTCCAGTTCTTCGCCCGCCAGCCCCGCAGGCCACGCTCGTTCGTTAAACAACTGCGCTCCTCAACAAGAATCGCAGCTCGGACGCCCACGTTGACGGAGGCGTTGTGTATGGACGCGCCCGGGCCGGGTCTTGGCGGCGCTCAAAGGGCTTGTTGTGGCGGAATCGCCAAGCGTACAAGTCCGCATACTCATCCGCACCTCCCTTCCAAAATTTACATGAGCGCGTTGCCGAGGGCCTCGTGGGTCGCGTTGCGGATGGCGGCCTCCGTGGCGAGGGAGCCGAACTGGGTCTTGATCTTGCGGCGCTGGGCGGCCTCGAGCGCGGAGCGGACCTCGGCCTGGCGCTGGCTCCGCGAGAGCCGCGGGTGGAAGAACTGGACGCTCAGCACGACGCGGTCGCCGGAGTCCGTTTCGCCGTCGTGCACGGCCGCGTGCTCGAAGGAGTCGTCGTAGAGCAGCACGGCGCCCTCCGCGTAGCGCCGCGACGAGCCCGAGAGGCCCGGGTCGCCGCAGCGGAGGTCGCAGGGCCGGTCCGTCTTCGGCGCGAGGAGGCAGAGGTGGGCCGTGAGCCGCAGGTTCGTGGCGCCCGTGTCCGGCGCGAGCTCCGTGCCCGGCCCCAGCGCCGAGAGCACGACCTCGGCGACGCCGAGCTCCGCGGCCTCGCGGACGGCGTCGAGCGAGGTGAGCAGGCCGATCGTCCGCGGGCACGCGGCCGCGGCGGCCTCCGTGACGCCGTCGCCGCCGGCGCGGGCGACGAGGACGACCTCGCGCCAGGACGGGTCGACGTCGGCGCGGCCCGCGGCCGCGCGCGCGCGCAATCCGTCGCTCGACGACCCGGACGCGCCCGCGCGCGGCCAGTCCCGCTTCCGCGCGCCGCTCCGGCCGCCGTAGAGCTCGAGCACCTCCTCCATGATCATGGGGAAGGCGCCCGCGACCGCGCCGACGACGGCGTCGGCGAGCTTCGGGTCCGGCCACGCGGCCGCGGCCCGGAGCAGCGACGGCGCGCTGTAGACGCCGGGCCGCTGCCACGCGTCGGCCCAGCGGCAGGCGCGCCGCGCCGCGGCGCAGCCGTCGATGTGCCGCTCGGCGCAGAGCCGCGCCGCGTCCATGTCGGAGAAGTCGTTCTGGAGCGCGATCATGAGCTCGAGCGCCGCGTCGTCGGACGCGGCGTCCGCGTCGAGGCCCGCGGAGAAGTGGCCCACGGCGACGCGCGCGTGGCGGCCGTCGCCCGTCGCCTCGCGGAGCGCCTGGGCGAGCACGCCCGCGCGCACGTGGGGCGCCGCGTCGCCCGCGGCCGCGCGCTCGGCCGCGTCGCGCGCGAGGTCGTAGGCCTCGAGGTGCCGCGGCGGCGCCGCCTCGAGGTAGCACTTGGTCATGAAGTCCATGCACTGCGTCTTGAGGTGCAACGACCCGGACTCGGGCGTCTCGGGCGCCGCGTAGACGGCCCAGGCCGCGCGCCACGCGTCGAAGACCGCCTCGCTCCGCGGGCCCAGGCCCGCGGGCCGCTCGCCCCGCGCGAAGGCGTCGTCGTGGGCCCGCTGCCGCTCGCCGTCGTCCAACGTCATGGCGCAGAAGGCCTCGAAGAAGCGCGCGTGCGCGTGGCCGGCGCCGAGCGCGGGCGCGAGCTTCCTAGCGTCCTCGCGCGCCCTGCGCACGTGCGCGTCCCGCTTCGCCGCCGTGTTGTGCGCGCCCTGGACGCCGAAGACGGCCATGCCCCCGTGGAGCTCCCGCAGCTTGAGCTCCGCGTCCTCGCGGAGCACGGCGCCCGCGCGGGAGTCGCCGAAGCCGCCGCCGCCCGCGTCCGCGGCGGCCCGGAGCGCCGCGGCCTGCGACGCGTCGACGATCTTGCCGTCGACGATGACGTAGCGCGCCGTGCCCTCGTCGGCCGGCTTGGGCTTCGGCGGCGCCGCGGGCGCGACGTAGCCGTCGGACAGCGGCGCGAGCAGGTCCTCGACGTCGCGGACGTCGAGGGGGATGAGGCCCCGCGCGACGGCGCGGACGCGCGGCGGCCGCGCGGGGGGCGCGGCCTTGGCCGGCGCGGCGAGGAAGCCCTTCTTCACGGGCGGCGCGGCCGCCGCCGCGGGCCGCCGCCGGCACTGCGCGAGCGCGCGCTCGATCTGCGCCACCTCCGCGGGGCTCGGCGCGCCCGGGCCGGACGCGACGGCCTTCAGGGCGCCCTCGAGGTCCGCGGCGGCGGCGGGCCGGTCGCCGCGCTTCATGCGCGCGACGCCCCGCCGGAAGAGCGCCTTGCCGTGGCCGGGCGCGCGGTAGAGCAGCCCCGTCGCCTCGGCCTCGGCCTTCTTCGCGTCGCCGCTCTGGAGGTGGGCGAGGGACAGGTTGAGCGCGACGGACTCGAGCATGGACGTCTCCTCCGCGAGCACCGCGGCCTTGCGCGCGTCCGTCAACGCCTCGATCGCGCCGGCCCAGTCCCGCTTGCGGAACCTGTCGTCGCCCGCCTTCTTCCGCGCCTCGGCGCGCGCCCGGAACTGGGCCCGCGCGTCGTCGGGCGGCGGCGCCGCGGCCGGCGGCGTCGGCGCGAGCGTCGCCGCGGGCTTCGCCGCGTTCGGCGCGGCCCGGCGCCGCACGGCGACGGCCTCGACGAAGTGCGGCACGGCCTCGCGCAGGATCTCGTCGCCGCCCACCTTCTTGCCCTCGACGACGAGCTCGAGCGCCGCCGCGTCGAGGGGCGTCGCGCCGTTCTTGTCGTTCCAGAGCTTGGCCCAGTACTCGACGAGCTTCGCGACCGGCTGCGCCTCCCACTTCGTCGGCACGGTGATGGAGAAGGCGCCCTTCGACCGGTCCTCGACGTAGGAGAGCACGACCTTGCGCCGCGGCTTCTTGTCCTTTTTTTCGGCCATATGTGCTCGCGCGGCGCCTCTGCCGGCCGCGGCCTCGCAGCAGCGAAGCCCTTGTGGCAAATGAGTAAATGACGGTTCAACGACTTCCTTTACCCGAGCATATCAATGCCCAGCCTCGATTCGAGCACGACGACGCGCAGGGGCAGCCGCGCCGTCCGTGATCCGCCGTCCGTGATCCGCAGCCGCGCCGTGATCCGATGGCCGCCCACTCGGCCCCGCCCCTCCCGCCGGCGAGTACGACGTGCACCTGCTTCTGGAATTTGTGCACGCCCCTCAAGGGCGGCAAGAACAAGACGCTGACGGACCTCGCGAGCGCCAAGGACGCGAGCGCCCCGAGCGCCGAGGACACGATCCAGGCGCAGCAGCAGTTCACGCGCGGCAGCGCCCTGCACAGCAAGGAGCAGCTCCACGAGGCCATCGCCGCCTACCGCGCCGCGGCGGTCCTCGACCCGACGCGCACGGACGTGCTCTACAACCTGGCGAACGCGCTCCAGGACGTGGGCCAGCTCCTCGAGGCGCGCCACGTCTACGCCAAGGTCATCGCCCTCATGCCGGACCACTACGCGGCGCACTACAACCTGGGCTACGTGCTCGAGGAGTTGGGGGAGATCGAGCCCGCGCTCCGCGAGTTCCGCACGGCGAGCGCGCTCGACCCGAACGACAAGGACGCGCTCGTCAACATCGGCAACATCCTCATGCAGCTCCACGAGATCGAGGCCGCCATCGCCGAGTACAAGAAGGCCGTGGCCCTCGATCCCACGTCCGTCATGGCCTTCTACAACCTCGCGTCGGCCGCGCACGCCCTCAACCAGCACGACCTCGCGAAGCAGTACTTCGCGAAGACGATCCTCCTCGACCCCCACTACGCCGACGCCCACTTCAACCTCGGCATCGTCCACCAGGAGAGCGGCGTCCTCGACGAGGCCCTCAAGTGCTACGACGAGGCCGCGCGCCTCAACCCGGACCTCGTCGAGGCCGTCCGCGCGGCCAACTCCATCCGCGCCAACGCCAACCGATGATCGGCGCCCCATCCGCGCGGGGGAGCGACACCTCCCCGCGCCCCGCTCGCTCTAAGAGGACCCACGGCCTGATCGCTTCAACATGAGATATCGTAAATGAAACTCCAAGCGAGGGCGGCTCTCGATGGTGCCGGTCGTGGCAGCATGATCGCAGCCTCCCTGGCGCTGCTCGCGGCGTGCGGCGCGCGCGGCGCACCGAGCCCGCCGCCGACGGTCGCGGCGCTGCCGTCGCCGGCGCCGACGGTGTGCTCCAACGGCGCGTTCAAGGAGGAAGAGCCCATCTTCTGCTATCTGAGCCCGAACACGGACGCCTGCTGCGAGGCGATCAAGTTCCTCGGCGGCTGCGAGGACGGCGGCGCGTTCGCCGCCGGCGGCGCGCACGCCGGGTTCTGCCGGGCGTCCTGCGGCTACTGCGTGGGAGACTGGGTCTCGACGCCCCCGAAGACGATCTCCGCGCCGCCGCGCGCGGCCGCGTCCCGCGACCCACGCGACCGAACTAACAAGCTCCGCGCGCAGGTGCCAGGACGGCCCACTGAAACGCTCAAGACCAGATTTGTGCTCCGCGTCCAACTCGAGCCGTACCTGCTGCGCGGCGCTGCGGCGGTGGTGCGATCCGCCGTTCGGCCTCTTCGCCGTCGGCCAGGAATTGTACGGCTACTGCGGCGAGACCCAGCGTGCCGTGACGATGGTCGAGCGCTTTCGACCGGGGGAAAAAAATGGTCACCGACGCATGTTGTAGGCGAGACCTGCGGCTACTGCGCGGCCCCGGCGAAGGCGTCGGCGGCGCTGCCGGCGACGCGGGACCTCGACGTCGACGTCGTCGCCGTCGCGCTCCGCATGCTCGGCCTCGGCGCGGCGGCGCTCGTCGCGTGCGTGGTCCTCGAGTGCGCGGCGAAGGCGTGCTGCGGCCCCGCGGCGCGCGCCGTGCTCTGGCAGGTCCTGTCTCTGTTCGCGTTCGTCGCCGCGCTCGCGCTGTCCGTCGTCGGCGTCGCGCTCGCCGTCGCGGCCGCGCGCGGGTCCGGCGGCGCGCTGCTCCTGGGCGACGTCAAGTTCGAGGAGCTCACGGCGTCGCTCGACGACGCGTCGCAGACGCTGCGCTTCGAGAGCCTGAGCCACGTGACGTTCCGGCTGCGCGACGTCGGCTTCGGCCTCGGCGTCGAGACCGACGGCGCGCGGCTCACGGTGTCGTTCGCCCACGACGACTACGTGCGCCCCATCGGCACCATCGACGTGCCGCCCGTGGCCCTGGCGCCGGGCGAGGAGCGCACGTTCTACGCAGGGCAGGAAAAGATATCAAAATTTTCAACTTAAAAGGCTCCTATCTCTTCCGTTTTCCACTCGTTTCGGCTTATTTTTGGACGAGCGATCATCTCTCGGAACGGTCTCGAAGCATGGATGCTTTTTCCGGAACGCGCGCGCGCGCGCGGAACACTCACGTTGAAGCGACGTTAAATCTCTCTTTTCCTGCCCAGGTTCTACGGCGGGACCGTGCTCGAGTTCGACTACGAAAGCTTTTGGGGAACTTGGGTAATGGCGCTGCGGCGGTGTCCGCCTCCTTTTCCCGCGTCGCGCAACGCCCGGTCGCAGGAGGACGCCGCGAAGCAGCGCGTCCGGCTCCTCGTCGGGCCCGCGGACGTGGGCTTCCGGGCGACGCCGAGCCGCGCGGCGGCCTGGTTCCTGCGCGACGGCGACCTGGACGTGTCTCACGTCGGTCCGCTGCGTCCGCGAAATGTCGCCTCGCGGCGATACCCTACACCCGTCAGGTCTTCGCGTGCAACTACACGCTCGACGCGTACTCGCTCGCCGTCGCGGAGACGCGGTGCCACCGCGACAACGACCTCGCGGCGCGCGCCTACGCGGCGACGCGCGTCTTCGCCGTCGCGGCCCTCGCCGTCGGCGGTTTTGTCGTCGCGGCCCTCGCGGCGCTCTTCCACCGCATCTTCCCGCCGCGGCGCCTCGACGACGACGACGGCGACGCGGACGTCCACGCGGCGCCCTACGCGCGCGTCGTCGACGCGCGCGCAGCGGACGTCGAGCTCGTCTACCACGCGCCCGAGACCGACGTCGAGGCCGCGGACGCCGCCGCGAAGCCGCCGGTCGTCGCCGTCGCCGTCGAGCCCGCGGTCGCGACGCCCGCGCCCCGGCGCCGCGCGGCCGGCGGCGCGCGCGAGGCCGACGCCGAGGGCGCGCCGTGGCGCTGCGCGGCGTGCACGCTCGCGAACCGCGCGCCGCGCTGCCGCGCGTGCGGCGCGCCCAGGCCCTGCGCGGGGCGCGCGTACGACGGCGGCGAGGAGACCAAGGAGGGCCCGGTCGCGGACGGCGGCGCGCTCGCCGCGGCGCGCGGCGCCCTCGAGGCCGTCCTCGACCGCGTGGGCGAGCCGGAGCCGGAGGCGGCGGAGGCGGCGGAGGCGGCCGAGGCGGCTGAGGCGGCGGAGGCGAGTTCGGCTCCGGCTTTGGAGGAGGCGAGTTCGGCGGCTCCGGCTTTGGAGGCGGCGAGTTCGGAGGAGGTGGTTCCCGCGGAGTCCGAGCCTGCGGAGCCGGAGCTCGAGCAGTCCGAGCCGAGCGATTCCGTGCCTGAGCCGAGCGACCCAGTTTCGGAGGAGCCGGTGCCCGCGGAGTCCGCGCCGATCGAACCGCCGCCGCCGCCCGAGCCCGCGCCGAGCGAGCCGCCGCCAGCGCCGCCGCCGGAGCCCGCGCCGACTCCGGCGGAAGCACCGGGCGATTGGCACGTCTGAGTAAGGGAGGAGGTGTATTGACGACGACGCCGAGCGGCGGCGCTTGAAGTCGTGTTGAAGCAAAGCGATTTGCAGCTCAGAGCTATAGGGCCCCGCGTGCGTGCGTCTGGCAGCTCGCCCTGTCGACGTGCGCAAGGCACGGGCGCGTCGCCGGGTCCCGTGTCGGCCGCGGCGCCGTCCTCGAGCTCACACTCACAGCTCGTGCGTCCCAGGAAGTGTGTCAGGCGCGTCTCGGCCAGTCCCGGGGCGGGAGAGCGCTTGCAATGTTCGCCGCTTGCCTGCTGCTGGCGCTCGGCGCGCAGGGGCTCGTCGCCCCGCGGAACTCGGCATCCCAGGGCTCCGTCGCCCACGGCCCGGCGCCGCTCTGGTTCCTGGCCATGGCGGACGGGCGCGTCTCCACCGAGGCGCGAGCGTCGCCGGAGTGGGTCGACGCGCAATCGCGCGCGCTGCTCCTGCGCATGGGCGACTCCCTCGAGTCGAAGCGCGAGAAGTCCGCGGCGTACGATAGCCTCCTCCTGAGCCCGTCGGCGCCGGCGCTCCTCGACGCCGCGCTCGAGCTCCTCGACGAGACGGCCAGTTCGCCGCTCGCCAAGTCGCGGTTGCCCGTGCGGCTGCCGTCGCGTCGCGCGGCGCTCGGCTGCTACTCGCGGGCGCTCGACTACGTCGTCTCCGAGGGCTGCGACGTCTCCGGAGGGCACGAGGTCTACGGCGACTGCCGTCGGACCCAGCTCCTCGACATCTTCCGCGAGCTCAAGGACCCGGACGGCCCGTCGGGCATCTACGCCTTGGAGGGCCGCCTCGTCGGCCGCGACGTGTAGATACGCCTCCCCCTGTGGAACATAAAAATCTCGATCGACACTACAGCGCAAACCCCACGCCCATCGTCGCGACGAGGCCGCCGAGCGCCGCGGTCCGCGACGGGAGCTCCCCGAGGAAGAGCGCCGCCAGGACGCTCGCGACGACGGGCTCCAGGAGCGTCAGCGACGCCACGGTCGGCGCCGGGAGCCACTTGATGACGTAGTCGAGGCCCTGGTGCCCGACGAGCTGGGGCCCGAGGACGAACGCGAGGAGCAGCGCCGACGGCCGCGCCCCGAAGCCCGCGAGCGCGACGCCGCTCGCGAGGGCGCTCGCCAGGAGCAGGGCCGCCGCGGACAGGCACACGGCCGCCTGCCACGTCGGCGCGGCCACCCGCGCCCGCGCGTCGCGGCTGAGCAGCATGTTCGCGGCCCAGACGAGGCCCGCGCCGACCGCGAGCGCGTCGCCGGAGACGCAGGGCGGCAGCGCCGCGGCGACGGGGTTCGCCGACCGCGCCATGAGCGTCGCGCCGGCGATGGCCAACGCGACGCCGGGCCAGAAGCGCGGCGCGACGGCGTTGCCCAGGAGGAAGCGGTCCGCGACGCCGACCCACAACGGCACGAGCGTCACGAGCACCGTCGACCGCAGGATCGTCGTCCGCGCCAGCGACAGGAAGAACAGTTGAAAGTGGAGCGCGAGGAAAAAGCCCGCAGCAACCGCGCGGCGCAAATCCCGCGGCTCCATCGCGCCGAGCCCGCGCCGCACGGCCGGCGCGCACGCGAGCAGCGCCGTCGAGCCGGCCATGCGCCAGAACGCGATGGCCTGCGGCGCGACGGCGCCGGACACGCCCCGGGCCAGCACCGCCGACGAGCCGATGCCGACGACGGCGGCGGCGGTCACGCCCCAGAGCTTCGCGGGCGACGGCGCCGGCGCGCCGCCGCCGCCGCTGCTGGGGAGCGCGGTGTTGCCGCCGCCGCTGCGGAGCGCGCTGCCGCCGCTGCGGTGCTGTTTGCGAAGGACGGATCGCACGTTCGGCAACCGATATGCATCGCTGCAGGCGCCGACGACGAGCAAGAGCTGAACAGGGCTCATGCCTCCTTTGTTTCATGCAGCTGGCTCCTTTTGATTCAGACTTGAACTTCAAGTTGAAGGCATCACCATCAGGGCGGAAGGTGGTTATGGTGGTGCGTGTGGTGCAGCCAGACGGAGTGGACGAGCTTGGACTGGCACCACTTCCCGCTGTCCTTCGCGTGGAAGAGCTTGCCGTTGCAGTCGTTGTACTCCGCGGCGCGCCGGAAGCCGTTCTGGCGGAGGAACGCGAACCAGGGCTCGTAGTCCATGCAGAGCCGCTCCTCGAAGGCGCAGGACATGTCCTCCTCGAGGAGGATCTGCTTGATCTGGCCCGAGATGATCACGGGGTCGAGCTGGTCGCGCATGAAGCGCATGCAGCCCTCGCAGTCGACGAGGAGCGTGTCGAAAGAAAAGCCCGCGGACCGCTCGAGGTCGAGGTAGGCGACGGCGTTGTGGGAGGCCGCCGCGTCGGGCACGACGCGGCCGCCGTAGCCGCGGCCCATGACCTTCATGCCGCCGGAGCCGACGACGCCCTTGACGACCGTCGCCGCGCAGTCGTTCTTCCGGAGGTTCGCCTCGAGGTGGGCCCAGACGCCCTCGTCGGGCTCGACGACGGCGAGGCGCCCGCTGTTGCCCTGGACCTCGGCGATCTGGCAGGTCGTCGTCCCGAAGCGGCCGCCGAACTCGAGCACCGTCGCGTTCCGCGGCAGGTGCTTGCGCACGAGGAAGTGCTCCGGCAGCTCGACCTCGCAGATGAAGGGCAGGGCGCCGTGCTCGAAGGCGTCGCAGCCGCTCTTGCGGATCGTGCCACTGCGTTTCGCCGGCGACGCGGCGACCTTGAGCATGCGGTCGCTGCCCAGCGTCGGCAGCTCCTGGAGCATGCCCTCGACGACGAACTTGCGCGCGAAGCCGCTGCCGTCCTCGCTCCGGGCCTGCGAGGCCAGGAGCAGCAGGGCGCAGACCCACCGGCGAACCAACCGGCAGCGGTCGACCATCGCGCGCGGGCTGCCTCGCTTCAATACGAATTCAACGCGAGGTAAACTCCTTCACGATGCTGCCAAATCCACAGGCTGCCCAATCTGGCCAGGGCTGCCCACTAAAGCATGGGCCGGCTCAGGGGCATCGCGGCGTCGGCGGCGGCGGGCCCGCGGCTCGAAACGCTCGTCGCGGCGCCGACGCTCCCGGACCACGCGGCCGTGCTCGCGCTGGCGTCGGGCGCCGACGGCGAGTACCTGCCGCTCAGCGAGTCGCCGCTCTTCGAGGAGGCCGTCGACGTGCTCGGCGACGCGCGGCTGCGCTGCGCCGCGGCGCGCGTCGTCTACCTCGCCGTGCGCACGGAGGCCGAGGGCTGGAAGGCGAGCCGCGCGCGCGTCGCCGGCGCCGGCGCCGTCCCCGAGCTCGTCGCGCTGCTGCGCGACGGCGACGTCTCGGAGTCGACGGTCGCGGACGCGGCCCTCGCGCTGCGCTACACGGTCATGGGCAACGCGCCCTTCATCGCCGGCGCCGTCGACGCCGGCGCCGTGCCGGCGCTGATCCGCGGCGCGCGACAGCGCGCCGGCGCGCCGCCGCCGGACGGCGCGGACCCGCTCGCGCCCCCGTCGCCCGCGGCGGCGCTCGTCGAGGCCCTCGTCGCGCTGAGCTGGTCCGGGCCGAGCCGGGCGACGCTCATGGCCGAGGCCGACCTCCCGCCGCTGCTCCTCGCGCTCCTCGGGGGCGACGACGCGCCCGCCGCGGCGCGCGCGGCCGCGGTCGCGACGCAGCTCGCGCAGGAGCCGGACCTCCGCGCGCCGCTCGCCGCGGCGGGCCTCGTGCCGCCGCTCCTGGCGCGCTTCCGCGGCGACGACCACGACTGCAAGGTCGAGGCCGCGGCGGCCCTCGCCTGGCTCTCCCAGGAGGCCGCGAACGTGGCCGTCTTTCGAGCCGCGTGGGCGGCGAACCCGCCGCCGGGCGGCCTCGCGGCGCCCGAGCCGGAGGTCATCGACGAGGACGACGACTTCTCCGACATCGTGCCCCTGCCCGTCGACGACGACGGCAACCCCGCGGACCCGGCCGCGGCGCCCGAGCCCGAGCCCGAGGTCGAGGTCGAGCCCGAGGCCGAGCCGGAGGCCGAGCCGACGTTCGAGGAGTTCATGAAGCGGCGCAAGCCGTGCAAGACGAAGGAGGAGGCCATCAAGCGCTTCACGCAGGCCCTCGCGAAGGTCGACGAGATCGCGGACCTCAAGCTCCTCGACCTCGGCCTCGACCCGCACCCGGACACGGGCAACGTCATGATCCCGGACACGGACGCGGGCCTCTACTGCCCCGCCGACGCCGTCTGCGACGAGCACCACCCCTACTGGACCAACCCCGAGGGGTACATCTAAGAGGAGCCGAGGAGCCGCCGCCGCGCGTCCGCGTCGACGATGGCCGCGGCGTCCGCGACCGCGGCCGCGTGGGCCCGCGCGGCCGCCGCGTCGCCGCCGAAGCGGCGGAAGACGCGGAGCCGCCGCGTCGGCGACAGCGGCGCCGCGTCCCGCGCGAGCAGGTCGCGGACCCAGGGCGGCGGCGGCAGGCGGCGCTGCGCGTCCGCGAGCGCGCGCTCGAGCGCCGCGACGTTCTCGGCGTCGCCGGCGAGCGCGCGGAGCGCCGTCGCGTGGGCGCCCCGCGCCTCCTCGACGTCGCAGACGAGGGGCAGGGCGTCCAGGGCCGCGGCGCCCGCCGCCGCGGCGCCCGCGGCGTCGCCCGCGAGGGGCAGGACCTTGAAGAGCGCCGCGGCCGCGTTGTCCGACGCGGCGTCGCGCGACCCGAGGGTCCCGTCGGCGGGGTAGGCCGCGAGTGCCGCGGCGAGGGCGGCGAGGGCCTCGGGCCGCAGGCCCGCGTCCCGGGCGGCGAGGACGCCGAGGCCCCAGGCGCCGCACTGGCGCACGTCGTCGCGCGGGTCGCGCGCGGCCGCGAGCATTGGGCCGCGGAGCCGGCCCGGCAGCGCCGCGCCCGGCGGGCAGTGCGCGGCGACGTCGACGGCGAGGCAGGCGGCGGAGACGAAGGCCTCGCAGCGCAGGTCGTCGGGCCAGTCGCCGTCGGGCTCGAGGCACGGCGACAGGCACGGCGCCAACACGCCGTCCGCGAGGTCGCGGACCAAGGGCGTCGCCGCGCGCGCCGCGGCGATGGCCCGGAGGCCCCGGCCGCAGGTCTCCTGGACCTCGCGCTCCGCGTCGCGCGTCGCGTCGGCGTCGTCGCCGCCCGCGCCGTCGAAGACGTCCGCGAAGTCCGCGCGGCGCCGCCAGCCGGCCGCGGCGTTGTCCGCGAGCGCGGCCGCGACGACGCGCAGGTCGTCGTCGCTTAATTCGCCGCAGGCGCCCGGCATCTCGAGGAGCTCGGCGAGCGCCTCGAGCACCATGGTCAGCGCCTGGAGCGACCGGAGCGCGCCCGCGCGCGAGTCGTCGTCCGCGTCGCCGCCGTCGTCCGCGTCGCCGTCGAAGGACACGACCTCCGCGCCGCCGCACCGGTCCCGCAGCGCCGCCGCGTGCCGGAGCAGCGTCGGCGCGACGGCGGCGAAGAAGGCCGGCCCGCCGCCGCCGCCCGCGGCCGCGAGCCTCGCGAGCACGGCCGCACCGACGGTGACGGCCGTCGGCGCGAAGCGGAGCCACTCGTGCGCCAGCGCGGCGCAGAGCGCCGCCGCGAGGCCGAGCCGCTCCGGCGCGAGGCCCGCGGCGTTGCGGTGGCGCCGGAGCACCTCGTACAACGAGCGCAGGGCGACCTCGTTCGTCGCGAGCGTCGACCCGTCGAGCGCGAAGTACGTCGCCTCGTCGCTCGCGGAGAAGCACGTGACGACGTCGCAGCCGCAATGCTCGGCCGCGAAGGCCCGCGCGTCGCGCACGGAGCCAAAGGTGTCGTAGGCGACGTCGCGGTCCGCCGCGGCGCAGGCGAGGAGCGCGACGACGCGCGCGACGTCGAGGCGGAGCGCGTCGCCCCGGCGCGCGCCGAGCAGCGCGTCGCACCACCGCGCGGCGCCGCCGAGGACGCGCCGCGTCAGCGCCGACGACGCCTCGCCGGCCTCGCGGGTCGCGAGCGCGACGAGGCGCCGCAGGTCGCCGAAGCGCCGCGACGGCTCGCAGTCGAAGACGCCGCGCGCCGCGCGCGCGCGCGTCGCGACGCACGCGGCCTCG